TAAAGAAAAGAGTAAAGGAATTGGTAGCTGTAAGTATCAGAGTGGATTCAGTCAGGGGAATGTGTTGACACGGTTTTATGGTGGTTTATGATGGTTATTTTCTTCTGAGGGCACCCAGTTCTCTCCCTCTGGTCTTCCCTGGGTTGCCTCCACCAGAACTAACCACTTCCCACGGACTCAGGAGGTCTCTAAGCCTTAGGACCTTGCTCCTGTCACCTGGAACACAAACCCATCCAATGTCAATCTTTCTGCATTTCAGTGACATTTTCCTTCCTTTATCAGGACGTGACCCTAAAGTCATCACAGTGGATCTTGGGTGAGGCAGCTCAGAACCCAAGGTGTGGTTCCCCTCAGAGTGAAATTGAAAACAGTCAAAATAACCCAGAGGACAGTCTCTTTAAAGTGTGCCTGTCTGGCAAGACTGGCACTAATCCCTGCTTCTTGTGGTCTGCTTCTGTAGGACAAATCCACACAGGCAAGGAGGAAATGGTTATGGTCAACTCTAATCTAATCTAATCTAATCTATGTGACTGGGACATAAAAATGCACAGCCCAGCTCCTTCACTTCTCTACCTATTAGTGAGGTAGGCATCCCGGTTTTACAGATGAAGAGATTATGGTACAGAGGGATTTAAGTAAATTTAGAATAAGCAAAAAAGATTAGTGGAAACAAAAGTAAAAGACAAAAAGAAAGAAAAAGACAAAAAAAAAAAAACACGACAAAGCAAGGGTTAGTGGATATTTCCAATGGAAACTATACATGATTTAGCCCTTGCCATTTTGGATTAGCTGATTCTGTTCTTTTATTGCCTCTCTGTGGGTTATAGAGGACTCCTGGCAGGGGGCTGGGCATATAGCTCAGTTGGTAAAGTGCTTGCCTCACATGCACAAGGCCCTGGGTTCAATCCCCAGCAATGCCAAGAAAAAAGAACTCATGGCAGTGCAGATGATTCCACCTCTGTTCAGTGGAGGGACAACCCTGGGCCCCTCCTGTGGAAGATTCAGCTTTGCTTGCATTTACAAATTCATTTCAGAATTCCTGATCTATAAATGCATCTGTTCTTTGTATTCTCCTTTGAGTGAATTGTAACAGCTACCTAGTTCCCTTATAATAAACGTTTATACTTCATATATCTATGAGAGTCATATTTTGCTTATTGAAAATTATCTTTTTATAGGGATTCTGTAATTTGCCTCTGGCCATTTACACAAGAAGAGGTAGAACTGGAATTCAAACTCAGGCAGGTAGGAACTAGTGGGTATTTTTGACCATCATACTTTCCAAGCACTACAAAGTGTAATTACATTAAAGTAACTAGCAGTAAATTCATCAGCTCTAACTTTAACAATACCCTTTGATCACATTCAAACCTAAACCTAATTCTTGACCCTAATTAAAATATAACCCTAATTAAAACCTTCTCTGTGGAAAAGACACATGTGACCACCGCCATTTTTGGAGATAATTTTTAGTGGCACAAGCAGGCATATTCATTCAGGTCCCTTGGGTGCCCAGGCCACCAGGGAGCAGGGGGTATTTTTCTCCCCCCGGTCTTACTATAGAATCCCTGCTCATGGGGAGGCAGCCAAGGTTGGGCAAAGCAGATGCTAGAGTTGTGTGCTAAGGGGCTCCATTTTACCCTTGGTGCTACCCAGATTTAGCTAAAGGTCCCCCATGATGTAGAAGGGGATTTGGAAGTCATTTTTATCTCTCAGTTCTCCTGGAGTGAGAGAGAGAGGGAGAAAAGTGACCAAATTTCCTGCCTCACATGCATTCTTCTTTGCTCAAAGGACTAAAAGTTATAACCTCTATTATATATTTAAATTATAATCTGATTAATAATATATTATTTTAACCACACATAATTGCAAGTAGGAATTTTGGTTTTTAGGTAACATCAAAATCTAACCATGACTTATAGATATAAACTCTTAAGTTGACTGTTAACTTGACCGTAAAAAATAGCATTTTTCTCACTGGGAAATTTATTCTCAGATATAAACTGATAAATCAATTAGCTCCATTTTATTCATTGCTTTAAAAATTTAAATCTAAACATTTTTAAATTTAGCAACATCATTTCATGGTACTTATTTTTGTGATTTCTTTTAATTATGGAAAAATGATACTCATTTTCCATTTATGATAATGATATTAAACGTATTTAAGTATAAAATGAGTCAACTTAAAGAAAAATATTCACTAACAGTACAGGTGGTATTAGATATAGGTAGAAATGAGGTTAGTGATATCCAAATGATAGAAGGTGTATAATCTTTTTTGATACTGTTTATTGAGCATTTATTTTTACTTTTTTAAATGCTTATTTTTTAGTTGTAGTTGGACACAATACCTTTATTTTATTTATTTATTTTTATGTGGTGCTGAGGGCCTCGCACGTGCTAGACCAGTGCTCTACCGCTGAGCCACAACCCCAGCCCTTGAGCATTTATTATATGCCAGGCTCATTGCTTTTGATTGTCCAACAGAATATACTGTCTAAGCCACATGTGGCTACAAAATCTTCAAAATGTGGCTAATGTGACTGAGAAATTAAAAACATTTAATTTGAATTCAATTAAATTTAAATATTCATATCAACCATATAAAAGCAAACCTAAAGGTCTTTTTTTTTTTTGGTAGTGAGGCTTGAACCCAGGCTATATTCCCAGCCTGATTTTAAATTTGGAGACAGGGTCTTGCTAAACTGCTGAGGCTGGCCTGGAACTTCTGATCCTCCTGCCTCAGTCTCCCAAGTTGCTGGGATTACAGCCATGTGCCACCATGCCCAACAAAAATCTTGCTTTAAAAATACATATATTAGCATGACTCATGAGTCATTTCCATTCCTCTTTTCCTGTTAAATGTTCACATTCAATTGTATGTGCGTTGTTTCCACTGCAAACAGAAGAGCACCTGCGGTAAGCTCAGTGGTAGGTTGGATGCCCCCAAGATGTCTGTGCTCTCATACCCGGAACTTGTAAATATGTTATCCTACATGATTAAGGAAATTTGCAGATGTAATCAAATTAAGGATCTTGAGATAGACTGTTCTGGATTATCCTAGGGGGCCCAATGATAACTGGAAAGATCCTCATCCAAGGAAGGCAGGAACATCAAAGTCAGTAGTAGAAAGAGTAATAGTGGTGGTGGTAGTACAACAGAAGAAAGAATTTGTAGTGATTTGAGGAAGGGGCCAGAGCCAAAGGAACACAGGTAGCTTCTAGAAGATTAATAAACAAATTCTTCCTGGAAGCATCCAGATGGAATATATGTTAGAAATATTGAGAGGGCGGGGGTTGGGAATCAGACATGTGCTTGAAGCTGGGTGAACAAATCAAACTTTTACTCCTGTCAGAAAGGCATGCTACAGGAACCTGGCTAGCAAACTCCCCTGGGCAGGCAGTCCACCTGCTTATATCCCTAATATAACACAGCACTGTCCTGTGCTCTGATTAAAGGAGTTTTGGGTTACATCTATGGGATTGGGGCAGACAAAGGAAAGGGGTATAATTAAAATGGTTACAATTGGATCCAATTAAAGCTATATTCTAAAATGTACCACCAGATTTTCTATTTCTCACATGTAGGCCTACAGAAACACTGATTTTAGACTTCTGACCTCCAGACATATAAAAGAATAAATCCATACTGCCTTAAGCCACTAAATTTGTGGTGGTTTGTTATAGCAGTAATGGGAAGCTAATACAATTACCTAACTGGGCTCCTTATTTCCTGCCTTATCTCTTTTCAGTGCATTCTCCACACCACAGAGGGATCTTTTAAAATTAGAAAAGAGATTGTCACTGTCCTGTTTAAAAAGTTCCTTAGCAAGAATCTTCTCTTTATACCTGGAACAAAATCCAAATGATGGCCATAGGCCCTACATGATCTGGTCACTAGCTATACCTCTCCATACTCCTTTAATTTTCTTTCTACAGGTGCTCTCCCACCTTCCACCCCCACCTCCCAGCCTTGCTAACTCAGGGCAACTGCTTTTCTCTTTGGGGTCTTAGCTCTAGCCATTCCATTTGTCTGAAACACTGTGTCCTCAAACCTTTGGATGACTGGTCCTTTTAGCTTAAAATTCTCTTCATGAAAAACTCCCCTTGCGCCAACCTAAGGTAGCCACTTGACACTACAGCCCTTGTTTAGTTGTCTTCACAGCACTTATTATCTTAAGCTATACTACTCACTTGTTTTGTTTGTTGATTACTTCCTCTCTACCCCTTTGACCCAAGTTCCAGGAAACCAGGAACTTAGCTTGTCTGTGTCCTGCTGTTATGTCCAACCCCTAAAATAATGCCTGGCACAAGCTAAGCAGCTTTCAGCAAAAACCTGTTGCAGGATGGAATGTTTGGCTTTACAGAGAGCTCAGGGTTCAAGTTGGCTACTAGCCCAGCAGGGCCTAGAACCCAGAAGTTGAACTAAGACTGGACGCTAGTGCCTCTTTCTAGGGCTCATGAAGAACCACCCAGTCTGGTGAGGAGTTCAAAGGACCTCCATGGAAAATGATAATAATGAAAACAACAATGGTTAATGATTATTGAGCATTTTCTAAGTACCACAATTAACACTTAATTTTATGTGTTAAGACAATTGCATTCACTCTTCACAATCAATCCTCACATTAAGGACGGGGAAACTGGGCTGGGATGTAGCTCAGTGGCAAAGCGTCTGCCTTGCATTCGTAAAACCTTGGGTTAAACCCCCAGTCCCCCAAAAAAAACAAAAAACGAGGAAACTGAGGCAATGAACTGTTTCGTAACTTTCCCTACAGCTGAATATACACAATTACACGTTTCTATTAATCTTTCTGTGGTTCACTTCCTCACACTAACAATGTGGGAGGATTTCTGACCTGATATCCCCGGTTACCCGGATCCATAGTCTCGGGGAACAGTTGGGGTACGTTCTCCTACTCAGGCGAGAGGAGGGCGGGGCACCGCCAGGGATTGGTGGGAGAGACTCGAGGCCATACAGCGGAAGTCCCGCCCTGCGTAGGAAAACTTCCGGTTCCAACTTCTCAGTGCTTATGTTGACCGGAAGCGTCCGGTAGCGCTGCGATGGTGCTCCTGGAGAGCGAGCAGGTATATGCAGGCCTGGCCGGCCCTGGGACTGATGAAAGTTCGGGTTTTAGCTCCAGACCTCTGTGTCGCCTTGAGGGAGGGACAGGGACTTAGTTGACGCGGCGGTACGCGCGTAGGATTTGAGCTGCCTAATAGGGCCGGGCTTCTTATGTTCCAGTTCCTGACGGAGCTCACCAGGCTCTTCCAGAAGTGTCGGTTGTCGGGCAGCGTGTACATCACCTTGAAGAAGTGTAAGCAGCCACCTCGGCGGGGACGAAGGAAGCTGGGAGAGGGAACCCTGGAAGCCGAGCTATTCCCGGCCTGGGTGCCTAGTGTCTGGGAGGCACCAGAGTCCCCTGCCTTCCTCCACCCTGCAACTGGGCACATTCAGGGACCTGGGCCCCGGGATATTGGGAATTGCGGTTGGTGCCCCCTCTTCCACTCAGTGTTTGTGACCAAGGTCCGTCCCGGCTACAATGGGCCCCAAGTATGTCAGAGTTCATTGTTTTGTCAGGGATACCAAACCCAACCGCGACTAGTGAGGTTTAATATTCCTGTGTAACAGCGTTTCTGTTGTGGAAGTTGTAGTTGTCTCCAAGATTTGGCCAAACCCTTGATAGCAGATGATGTGGTTAAACAGAACTGGAGCGGTGACAGTGGATTAAGTCACCTATTTAGACCCCTTCTTTCCTATTTTAACCTTTGTCTACCTATCAGCAACGTATATGGCTGTGTTCACTAAGATGTATTTTTCGTGCAGATGATGGTCGAACTAAACCCACACCGAGGAAGGGTTCTGTGGAGGGCGTTGAGCCCTCAGACAACAAGTGTCTGTTGAGAGCAACGGATGGGAAAAAGAAGATCAGCACAGTGGTGAGCTGGATTCTTAACGCTGAATTTTGGAGTTTAGAACGGAGGATGGATCATATCTGAACCAGGCTTTTAATTTTTTTTTCTTTTTTAGGTAAAAGGTAGCAAATGTGTAGCTCCCAGACTATTTTGGGATGCGGACTTTCCTTTACCACGTTAATAGTAGAAATCTCAGTAAAATTAAAATGGAGGTAGAGGTCAAACACTTGTTATACTAAATTTTTTGTGGAAAAAACATATTGGTAATGCTGGAAGGAGTGCTTGGCATACTTATTTCCTTATCTCCTTACTGTGTTGGGCCTTCAGTAATTTCTTGGTATCATGATTGTTTTACTTTTAAAAAGTATTTTTAGTTGTAGATGGACACAGTAACTTTATTTATTTTTATGTGGTGCTGAGGATTGAACCTAATGCCTCTGTGTGACAGACAAGCACTCCACCACTGAGCTACAACTTTTTTAGCTGATTACTCCTTTGTCTTTGTGGTTATTGTAACATAGTTATATGTTAGACTTGGTACATGAGAGAGTATACATTTAGTTAAGAGCTCTGTTTAGCCCTATTGTCTAGATTATTCTAGTCTTTCTTTTCCTGGTAGAGGTTAAGTATAGCAAAGCAAAAGACTCTGGATTCTTGAGTGAAAACTGTATTCTGCTGGGGCAGATCCAGACTCCCCTCTAATCACAGTAAAATAGGTTATTCATGAGAACATAGAAATAATTAGTTCATAATTCTCCCTTTATAAGTTATCTTGAGTAGACCTTTGTAGTAAAGCCAGCTTATGTGGTCTTTAAAAATAAAGTGGAATATCAAAAAATAGGAAAACCTGAGAATCTTTAAAGGTAATATTTCTCTTTCAGTAGCTTGCATTGTGCTTAAATTGGTCTGAATAAATGGAAAGCAGAAGATGAGGAGGGAGTAGTTTTTGTGTATGTTGCACAAAACATTAATACTGAGAAGTCACTTGACATCTCTCAGAACCCAGGAAGAAAACTTAGGGTCATCTCTGTAAGGGATTTCAAGAGAGATAAGAAATAGAACTTCTGTAGAAGATCACTTCTGCCTGTCCCTTCTGGTGCAGTTCTCATGTATAAAAAAGGCAGAGCTACTTTGCTTGTTCCTGAGGCAGAGGGAAGTCAGGTAGAAAAATAGCCTTTAGTGCAACATCAGAAGTTGGGAAGAACTTAGAATGTCATCTTCATGAATATTTTGAGATATTATCTGTGGTGGATCAGAGGATACTGAATGGATAAATAGGGGGTGACATCTTTTTTCCTTTTCTTCCAGGTGAGCTCCAAAGAAGTGAATAAATTTCAGATGGTGAGTTCCTAGTGTTGCCCATGTCCCCCTTCTCATGGCAAGAGAGCATAATGGTGAAAACTTGAGTTAAGATTGATATTTGGGGAGCTGGTCATGTGGTGCATACCTGTAATCCCAGCTACTTGGGAGGCTGAGGCAGGAGGATCCCAAGTTTGACACCAACTTAGCTAGACCCTGTCTTAAAAATAAAATGGAAGAGAGTGCTAGGGATGTACCTCAGTGGTAAAACACTCACCTCACAAGTGCAAGGCCCTAGGTTCTATCCCCACTACTGGGGTGGGGGGGTGGTTGATATTGGGTTCATTGCTGTCCTGTGATGTTTTACCAGTATTTTTCAGGTAAAAGGTGATAAGCTATGAATTTCAACACTGATATTATTTTTCCTTTCTGGTTTTTCATCTAGATTTTGTTGTCTTAACTTCAGATATACTCTGTAGTATAGTTGAACAAGAAATTGCTTGCCTTTTCCCCTTTTTGCTTAAAAATAAAGTAAAAAAGGTGCAGCTCACTGTGGGTGAGTGTTTTAAAAGGTACTATATTCTCTATTAGGTAGGCTTTCTGATTTTGGAAGTAGGGCAGCTCTCTACCAGTTGGTACCTCCTCCTGTTAATAAGGTCAGGCTGTGTGTTTTTCAGGCTTATTCAAACCTATTGAGAGCTAACATGGATGGGCTGAAGAAGAGAGACAAAAAGAGCAAGAGTAAGAAGAGCAAAGCAGCACAGTGAAGAGCACTGAGTTCCCTGCTTTTACCAAACCACTGAATTACATATTTCCATTTTGTTTATAGTTTTGTTCATAAATCTAGGTTTCTGGTTCCCCCATTAACTGTTTTCATGTGATATTAGGGTTATTTTGGAGAGAAGAAAGGTTGCAGTGTTTACAAAGTATTTGTGGTAAGAAAGTAGTTTATTTCAGATTTATGATGCATGGTTATAAATTCCTAAATTAGTTTTAAAAAGTCTCTGTAGTCATCCCTGTGAAGAGCATTGTATCATTAAACACCTGTTATCAGCACTGTGCTTATGTGATCCTCCCCCCCCCCCAATCTCCCCCCCCGCTTTTTTTTGGTGTTGCTGGGGATTGAATCCAGGGCCTCACACATGCTATGTAAGCACTCTTGATTACATCCCCTCATCCCCCCTCCCCCATTTTAATAGTCTGGCAATAACTAATTCTGGATGATGTGATTACTGAATGTTTTAGCCCTATTTTCTAGATTATTCTAATTGAAACCTGACAATTATAAAAGTTGTATCATCTCATGGACATTCTTTCCACCAGGTTGTATAAGTTTATCATCATAATTTATTAAGTTTGGAAGAGTTCGCATAGCCAGATGAAAATCTGCTTAACCACGTTAGGAAAAACATATTACAAAACATTAAAAATAAAGATTCTAAGGTAATGATTTCTGGTGTCTTTGTGCCTTTTAGGACATTTTCATGTGCTTAGTCATTAGGATCAAGGGAAGAACAAGGATACTTTCTAATGTTCTATTTCCATAAAACCTTCAGTGTTAACAGATTTGCAATTAAAAAAGCTACACATATGACAAAGCATTTATTTTACCCAAAAAGATAAATTTATAATATATTACACATGAAAAACTGACAAAGCTCAGTAGGGCATTTTCTTAGAATTTAAAATGACAGTGAATGTACAACATTCCATTATTCCAGTATAAGCCCCTGTCTGAACAAGGTAATGAGTTCTTCAGGGTTAAAATAAGATTCTATAGTAGTCATCTCTGTAGCTATATAGAAACAGCACAGATACCCTGCAAAAGAAGGGAAAAGGCAGATTACAATGACAGTTTAGTGAGTGAAGAACAAAAACAGTTAAATACTTTTAGGAGATACGAAGGTAGCTTTACTTAATTAAAAACAAGAATGGAAGGCTAGTCACTAAAAACTTATGTAAGTTTTACAGAAGCTGTGACTGCAGTAAAAGGGTCTACACAAGGAGATCCCCATTTACCTCACAGCCTCCTTGTTGCCCTTTAAGTGGAATGAGAACATGAATGAATGACATTCTGACATAAGGGTATAAAGTTATATTTTATTTTATTTCATTTAAACACTTATAGAAGTTATCTGGGTGAACAAAATGATACTTGGGATAGCTACTCCCAGCTCTGCTGTGTTTTATTATGGACAAGATCATGACTTGTGATTCACAGTCTCAGGAAGATTCATTGGTTGCCAGCTGCAGTTCTAACAGCTTGTCTTTAGCCTTCAAATCTCAATAAGAATAAAATATGTCACTCTAAAAAGCTCTTCCTGAATTTTAACCCTGTGAATGAAATCTGCTATGCCCAAGTGATAACTTACTTTTTTTCAACTTTGATGTTATAAATTTCGTCACAGACTAATTTGAGGTACCTTTGCTTTGGCAGGCGTGACAGCAGCTGCTTTACAGTTGTGTTAAATGCCTGTTCATCAGCATCCCACTGGGGAAAAAATAGATAAGACTTAACAGGGCAGAAGGTTTATTACTTGGCTTCTTCTGGGTCAGTACTGAAATGCCATTGTTCAAGTATACCAGAAGAATGTATTGTAGAACCAGCAGGGAGACTGCTGGGGTTCTTCCTTTCAAGCATCAATTTTCTTTTATTTTTTTTCAGAATTGTTAGTGATTTTTTTTAAAAAAAGATTGTTGTAGATGGACACAATATCTTTATTTATATGGTGCTGAAAATCAAACCTAGTGCCTCACATGCTAGGCAAGCGCTCTACCACAGCCACAACCCCAGCCCTCCCTTTTCTTTAAAACAAGACTATAGGTACTATGTAGAGTCTAGATGCCACAGCCCTGATGTGCTAATATCCTGCCCCAGTGTGCTATGACTTTAGATCAATTAATTCTGCCTACTGTTTACTTTGTATAAAACGGAAGCTATTGTCTTTGATGTGTGTCCATCTGACTGGATCATAAATCAGTAAATTGCCAGTAGAGGGGTATATGTAATATATACTTGTGAGAGCAACAGAAAATGTAATAATAATTTTGGGGCAAAGTTCATTTTTAATTTAACCTGTGACTAAACAATGGGTAGACATATATTCTTTGATATGTTGCAAAAATCATTTGTAGCTTTAAGTATTCTTAGTAGTAACTATTCAAAAATGTTAAAGTTCTTATTTAGACTATTTGATAATAAATGTATATACCACCTATATAACAAAAGGGATCTAAATTAATTTTTACAAAAGGATCTTTTGTATAGTTCTAGTCTACAAATGACCTTCCCTAGCTGGAGTTTGACAGACAGCATAGTAGACAGACTATGTCAAGAACAGATTCTGCCAGGAGTGGTGGCACACATCTGTAATCCCAGCTGCTTGGGAGGCTGAAGCAGGAGGATTATGAGTTCAAAGCTAGCCTCAGCAAGTTAGCAAGACCATAACTCTAAATAAAATATAAAAAAGGGCTGAGGGATGTGGCTCAGTGGTTAAGCACCCCTGGATTCAATCCCTAGTACCAAACAAAAAACAACATCAAAAACCCCCATGATTCTGCTAGTCTGCCTGAGTCTAAATCCTGGCTATGCTACGTATTAGTTGGGTGACCTTGATTTAGGAATACATATAACATATGAAAGGGCCAATGTTATTAAATTCCTGGTGTTGCCAGTATTTTATGATACTAAGAAAATGTAATTCTGTTTTTAATTTTCTTTTGGTAAATCAACACAATGTAGAACAGTTTGTATTGCTTACCTCTAATGATAAAAACTGTAAGATTGTTTCTTTGGGTAGATCCACCTGTTAATTCACAGAAATGAACATCATATATCAGAACACATTGATTCAGGACTTCAGTGTCACTCTGGATAGACAGTATGAACAGGGCCGGCAGAGTGTGAAATGCCTCTGTACTTTATAAAGTAGACTTGATGATCTGTGTGGTGATAAGATCTCAGTATTGTGGGAACTATACCCCCTATATGCCATAATTCAAAGCTTTGTTGACACTGCTACTTGTACTTAGTAAAGCAAAGCCCTGAAACATAGAAAACTGATTTTGGTTTTCACTGCTTTCCTTCCTCCGTCTTTCAGAGGAAGAAAGGAGAGAGAAAAACAAACCTTCAATTTTCTCTCCAGTATTTTATATGTTTAGATTAAATGTGGTTCACATCAGTAACAATAAGGTCTACATCCAGATACTCGTGACACTGAGCAAAAAAGCCCTGAAGTCTGATGTCACACTTTGACATTATGGACAGAGGCCATCTTCAAAATATCCAAAAAGAACTTACAGCCAATATTTCAATTTCACTGCTTTTCTGATGTAAATTGGCAAGAGTAGTTTGAAGTCGGGTTTGTACCTAGTAGGAAGAAAATGTAATTCAGAACATGTTAAACCAAGCCATCTTATTTCCTATTCCACAAAACATGACAAGGTGACAAATCAAGGCCTATAAAAGTTTCCAATGTGGGGCTGGGATTGTGGCTCAGTGGTAAAGTACTCGACTAGCACATGTGAGGACCTGGGTTGAATCCTCAGCACCACATAAAAATAAAGATATTGTGTCCAACTACAACTAAAATATAAATATAAAAAAAAAGTTTCCAGTGTGTAAAGATTTGCTTTTACTCTACCTCAGAAAAAAGGGGTTGTCTAGTCATTTTGATCACAAGGAAAATAAATTTTCTAACTTCTTTATTACTTATTTCTTTTTAATTTTGAAATGATGCCAAATAAAGACTCAGAATAATGAAATAGTACACGTGTAGGCAGAGAGATTTTAGGATTAAGCTAAAGGGGAAAGGGGAAGTATTGTAATAGCAAAAAGAACATGGAACTCAAAAAAATGGGTCTCCACCCATAAACAATCAGAAGAACTTAAAAATGAGGTATTTGATTTTTTTCTACTTCTGTCCTATTTTTTTTTTTGGTGGTGCTGGGGATCGAACCCAGGGCCTCGTGCATACTAGGCAAGCACTTTCCCACTGGGCTATACACCCAGTCCTTAACTTCATTTCTACATAATGGATGCTTTCCTAACATATGTCCATGGCACATTCTAAGACTCATATTCAATATACTTAGCTTGGCATTTTATTACTTAATTTCTTCTATTCTCTAACTATATTGTGCATATGCTTGCTTCCAAGGTTATAAGCTCTTTGATGACTGGGGCCTTGTAGTGTCTCATATTTTACATAGCCATTAGCATAGCATTAGGCATACAGCACACACCAAAACCATGTAAGGAATGAGAAACCCGCTTCAAGTCATATCATTGACCACTATTGCTTTGTTATTCAGATTAAAAACAAACTGCCATAAGAGGCAGATTAGAAAAGTTCTGTTTAGATGCGATCATTCTGACAACAGTTGCTTCTTTCAGTGTACACTGACACCTCTTTGGAGGATAGATGGGGTTGAATTCTGGCATCAGAGATGCTTTGTGTTGGTGAAATCTTGAGAAGCCATCAGGTCAGGGAAGTGGGTAGAAAGATACTTCCAAGAAATTCTGTGTTTCTTATTTTCATTTCCTGCTTGCTTTCTTCTCTGATGCTCACATTAGAAAGCCAAGGAAACCTTGACCAGATGTACCTGAGTTTCATACCGCCTCCTTGTGCTGGCTGACAGCTTCTCAGGGGCTATCACACTCACAATGGGAACAACTGTTGCTCCATGGATTTCGAACAAGCCTGAGACAAGAGAGTTTCAAAATTTATGGTATTATCTACACAGTTTCTAAAACACCACAGAAATGATAACAGTTTATTTGTAGCTCTCTTTTTGTGATTCTGGGGGCTAGGTCATGTCTAGGCTTTGTATTCTATCTGTGCTACTAGCTACACTTAACCTAGGAAGAGCCTGGAACCACAACAACCCAGTTTGATTGCTCTCTTATTGGGTGGAGATATACCAAAGCAATGGGAGGCAACATGAGTCCCCCAAACTTCATGAACCTCAGAAAATAAAACTCTTGTATTACTACTACTACTTTTTTACTTTTATTTTTTGTGGTGCTGGGAATTGAACCCAGGGCCTCACACATTCTAGGCAAGTACTGTATTACCAAGCTATATCTCCATTTTTTTTTTTTTTTGAGACAGGGTCTTGCTAAGGCTGGCCTCAAACTTGTAATCTTCCTGCCTCGGTCTCCTGAGTACCTGGCATTACAGGTATGTACCATCACACCCAGTCCAATACTTCTTTCAATTCCTCAAAGTATTGGAATGTGTTGGTGACATAAAGTTAATCCTAACAGAAATAAAAGGAAAGACCTGATTCTGTTAAAAGCCAAATATGCCTTCCTGTGGGCTTAACCAGAATGTTTTCTTTTCAGTTTTTTTCAGAAGGGTTGTTAGAGGTGATGAGACTAAAGGCAGAATCTCTTTGTTGGATTTCATGGAAACCAAAAATGTACATAACGACTATCTCCAAGGAATTTCAAAATATTTTTCTCAAATCCTCTGCTTGAGGGAAATTTTCAAGAAAATGATCCACATTTAATCTATACAATAAACCCAGTCTAAGAAAGATTAAACTACTTGTAAAAATAAGACAGTAAGACAAAGATACAGCGGATCAGAAGAATCACTTAACCAATTTTATCTTTTTCTAGAATATGGATTTCAAAGCACAGATAGGAATTCCATGTGGTACAATTTGTTGTATACGTGTTACTTTAAAAAGATATTTCCAGTGTCACAAAGAATTGGCTACAGTCATAAGTGCTTTGAGCAAACGTAAACACAAGCAATATTATGTTCAATTGTAATTAGTAATTATACCTGAAGCATTAGACCCCTTCAGATTTTGCACTGCAAGATTATCGGAAGCTTCTCTAAAAACAAGCAAACAAAAACAATTAGGAAAACAGTCAATAAGACAGAAGCAACATAGAAAACTCACAGTGAGCTATACATATAGTGAGCCACTTTTTCTACTGACTAAAAACACATGCCTATTGGTTATTAGTGGGAAGAAAAATAAAAACAACAAAAATTGCACTTAGTTATGCTTTTGGTCAAGAGCAAGTTAAAAAAAATTATAAAGGATGTCATTTCAAGTTAACAAATGCCTAAAGAAAACATTCTGATTTATTCAGCTGGGTTTGAAATCCTGGCTCCACACAAACAGCTCATTTCAATGAAACAACATGGGTGTTCTTTCCGCTCCCCTCATAATACAAGGAAACATTAGCAACAGCATGCTCTGTCTTCATGTGGCAGCAGCCTTGGCGACCACCCACAGGAGAACATTTGGTAAATAAGGATATTCTTTTAAAACCTGTAAATGAATGTTCTTTCAAATGCTGTGAATTAATTTAAAGCTTTTGTGAGACACAATAGTACTTTATGTTGGGAAAACCAGGGAAAAAAGATTTTGAAACTTTCTCTGTTAAAACTAAATCTCATCCAACTTTTTAAGTGTCTTAATAGTGTTCACCTGTTCTCACTGTTATGTAGTTGTTGTGTTTTTTTTTTTTTTTTTTTTTGGTTTTGGGGACTGAATCTAGGGCCTTGAGCATGCTAAGCACATCTCTATCGACAAGTTACACCCCCATTAGTTAGCCACTTTTTGCTTTTGCTTTTAAAACTCTGTCTGATTTGGATTATAATTCTAATATCTGGTGACTTTAAGAATATTACATTGTCTCAGAAAAGCCAGTGAATTTATCAAAGTTGGTTCGAATGGGAAGAGGTGGCGCTAAGGAGGAAGAACAAAGGAAGGAGTGTTTTTTTTTTCCTGTAAGCCAGGATTTCTCTATCTTGGTACTATTGACATTTTGGGCCAGATAACTCTTTATTGGAGGGGGGAGGTCAGTCTTGTGTACTGTAGGATGTTTTAGCAACATCCTTGGCTTCTAATAGATACCAGCTACACATTCCTATTGTGACAACCAAAAACGTCTCCAAACATCGCCAGATGTTCCCTGGGGACAAGACTGCTACTGACTAAGAATCACTAATATAAAGAAAAAGAAAGAAAAAAAATTGAGTATTTTCTGATTACAAGGTTATGTGTGTTATAAATAACAAAGAAATTTAAGACTCGCTATAATCCCACTAACCCCAAAGAATCACAGTTAAATATTTAGTACATTTCCCCAGACACTATTCTATATATAGATTGCATATTTTGGTTAAAACAAAAGTTGGATTATACTAGCCATCCTACTTGTGGACATCCTTCTAAGTCAATAAACTCAGCTTTATTAGAATCACCATTTTAAAAGGTGGTACAGTATTTTGTTGTGTTTTCAAAATTTAAACAATCTTCTACTAATGTGTATATGTATGTGTGTGTATATATATATATATATTTTTTTTTTTTTTAAAGAGAGAGCCAGAGAGAGAGAGAGAGAGAGAGAGAGCGAGAATTTTTATTTTTAGTCTTTCGGTGGACACATCTTTGTTTGTATGTGGTGCTGAGAATCGAACCCGGGCCGCACGCATGCCAGGCGAGCGCACTACCGCTTGAGCCACATCCCCAGCCCCTACTAATGTATATTTTGATATTATTATTACTACTACTCTGGGGATCAAATCCAGGGCCTTGCCCATGCCAGGTAAATGCCACATTTGCAGCTTTCATATTTTGATATGAAAATTCTCAATGAGAAATTCTCAAAGTACAGTCCAGGGATCCTTGGAGGTCCCTGAGATGTTTTCAGGGGTCTGCAAGATCAAAATGATTTTCACAATAATTCCAAGATGTTAGTTGTCCTTTTGCTTCATCCTCCCATAATATGCAATGGAGCTTTCCAGACCACATGATGTGTGGATAATACAACAGACTGCAGAAGCAGATATGAGAATGGTCTCTTCCAGTAAAGCTTTAACGAGATAACAGGAAATGTACAACAAGGTCTTAAAGAAATTTGTCTAAAAAATGCCACTTTTTGTACTAAATGTGTTTTGTTTTAAAAACGTTGCTCTTATAGAGTGAGCTATTTTTCATTAAAAATATGTTATTTAGGTTAGCATGTAATGGGGTTACTTTTGTTATTTAAAGCAGAATAAATACATATTTTTAAATGTTTAAATTTTAATTTCTAACAAAATATTGATAGATAAAATCCAGTAAACAGAAGTTCTCTGTGGTTCTCAAATAATTTTTAAGGATATAAAGAAGGCTCTGAGATCAAGAAGTTTGAGAACTGCTATTATAAAAGATATCTTGATACAAACCTTTTTTTTTTTTTTTTTTTGGTGGTGTATGATTTGATGAGTTTACAACATATGCAATCACCACAGTGCTCTATGAACAGTTCCATCATCCTAAATATTTCCTTATGTGGTTCCCCTCCTCTCTTGCTCCCTGGCAACCACTGACTTCTGTCCCTAGAATTCTACCTTTTCCAAAATGTCAACAGACATCTTTATTCATGCCCTGATGAAAAAAGTTTTACTATAAATTCCTGAATTGCTGAATCAATTTAAAATTATTTTATAGTTTTAATGCTTTTAATCTTTGCCAAATTTGTATACAGATGGCTGAACCAATTTCTCTCTCATCATGAGGATATGGCATTTTTTCCCAGAACATATTATATCTTTCAAATAACATGAATACAATACTACTGAAATTCATGATTAACAGACTGAATAAGATAATGACAGACAGATTTTGGCTTCTTAGGCCTTTTAAAATGAAAAGAAAACCAATTCTTGGAAATATCATTGCTATGGTTTGAATATAGATTCATGTGCTGGAAGCTTGGTCCCCAATGTGGCAACATTGAGAGGTGAAGGAAGCTTTAAGAAGTAAGGACTAGTGGAATATAATTAGATCCTGGAGGCACAGTCTCCAAAGAGGCTAACGTTGGTCTTATAGAGTGAGCTGGTTCTAACAAGAGTGGGTTGTGGTAAAGTAATCCCACCCCATATGCTTGTCTTCTTTCACGTGTAGCCATTTCCTTTTTCCTCATCTCTCCTTTGTTGTGATGCAGACAAGAAGGCCCTAACCAGAGGCTCTATGACTAGACTGCCCAATCTTGGATTTTTAGCTCCCAAACCATGAGCTAAACAAACCTCTTTTCTTTAAAAAGTACCCAGCCTGAGGTACTTTATAAAAACCAAACAGAACAAAACAGACTAAAATGGTTATGATAAACAAATGTTGAAAGCAAGATATGACCTTATCTAGGTTATAATTAAATTGCTGACTGAATTATTCAGAAGCAACAGAATGGTTCATTTAAAGAAATTTCCCTAAAGGATCAAATTAACTTTTAAAATAAATTTACCTAGGTTCTATATAGGTAATTGTAGTCAGGCTTCTGGGCTTTTGTTTACTAAGTTACCTGATATTCTTTTCATCATTGACTTTAGTTCTTAGTTTCTGCACAACATGGTCCACAAGATCGAACTCCAGCACACGCTTCTCTGTTTGCCTTTCCTTTTCAAAAGACTTAACCTAAAAAGAATGAGACAGATCTATCATTTGGAGGTTTTCAAGCCAAAAGGGTGGCTCTGAGAGACTATTAAATGAACAGTTTAGGTCAGTGGTTCTTAACCAGCAGTGATTTTGTTCCCTGGGGGACATTTGGCAGTTTGGAGTCATTTTTGAATGTAACAATGGTGGGGCTGCTTCTGGCATCTTCAAATAGAACATTAGCCAGGAATGTTGTTAAACAATGCACAGGGCAGTCCTCCACAACAAATAATTGTCTGTCCCAAATCATTAGAAATGTTGCTGCTGAGAACTCTGATCTGGTTTGAACTAGTTCATAATAGATGACAGAATTAAAAAAACAAACCAAATGCGTATATGTGTGTGTGTGTGTGTGTGTGTGTGTGTGTATAAAAGGCCATAATGAACCAGCTCTCATTTAACTGAATTCATTTACATTTTCTTCCCTTTTAAACATCCTCAATGAGTCACCAAGTTTTCTCATATCTCAGAACTGCCTATAATTCCTCCCTCTCCTATACAAACCCAAATTCTACCATCCCATTTATGGTACCTGCTTTTTTTTTTTTTAGAGAGAGAGAGAGGGAGAGAATTTTAATATTTATTTTTTAGTTTTCGGCGGACACAACATCTTTGTTTGTATGTGGTGCTGAGGATCGAACCTGGGCCGCATGCATGTCGGGCGAGCGCACTACTGCTTGAGCCACATCCCCAGCCCCATGGTACCTGCTTTTTAACCTTCACCAGCATCCAACCTTGGCCTAGGTTAGCCTGACACTCTTTTTTTTTTTAATTGATTTTTAAAAAAATTTTGACAGCAGAATGCATTACAATTCTTATTACACACATACAGCACAACTTTTCATATCTTTGGTTGTATATAAAGTATGTTGACACCAATTTGTGTCTTCGCACATGTACTTTGGATAATGACGTCCATCATATTCCACTATCCTTGCTAATCCCATGCCCCCTCCCTTTCCCTCCCATCCCTCCGCACCATCTAGAATTCATCTGTTCCTCCCATGACACTCTTCTTACTGCCTTCCCTGTCTTACAGTATTTCCTTAGTTACTCCATTCCATGCTATACATCCCTGCAGATTAATTTCTCTCAAATACAACTCTAATGTCCCCTTTTGTCCAAAAATTCACTGGCTCCCTCTTGGTTGCTAAATAAAATTCCATCTCTTTGGTTGGGCATTTGGGTTGTCCATGATCTAGCTATAACCATTATTCTGCTGAAGTACCATTTTGTACAATACTTCTACTTCACCCAAAATATATTACTCAGGTTAGATTAGAATTATTCTCTCCTACCTGTTCTGATCTTTGAGACAACCAACTGAGAAAAACTACCATGACTTTTGCTATTCCCTCTGCTTAAAAGGCTCTATATCTATATCCTAACCATTCCCGAGGGTCTGGCATAATACCACCACCACCCTGAAGACTTCCCAGCTTCCTCTAATGTGGTTTCCCAGGTCTCAGAGAACTTTATCCATAGGAATTTGATGGCGTTCAGCATTTTCTAGCTCATAATTATGCACAAATGTCTTATGTTCCCTACTGGATGATAAAATATACTTGACAGCAAGGCCTGAGGCTTAAATATTTCTGTATCCTCTCTGGTTCTAAATTTAATTTCATCCACATTGTGAATGTCTAAAACACATTTGCTGAATGGACATGTGAAGGGATGTCTTGCTTCTCAAATATGAAGATGCTACTGACCTACCAGTAATAGACAGGAGCAAGATTCAGAAGAGCTTGACAGGCTGGGATGATGTATTGAAATAAGATCACATTTAACAAAGATAAATAAATTCCTGTGATTAAAACTCTTGTTATAAAAGGCCAGCCAGACATGGTGGTAACTGTGGAAAGGCCAGTGGGTTTTACTGATGATAATTTTAGTATGAATCAAAAGAAGCACAAGATTGCTAAGCGTTAGTTTATTCATAGGCTATGTTAGGACAAGTATGGTATCTGGATTGTGGGAGGTCAGAGACCCTTCCCATTTAATAGGAACATGTTTAAAGCATTCTAGAATTCCAGTGTCACATTTAAAGACAGATGCTGACAAAATAAAATGAGTCTAGAGGAGGTTAACTCCGAGGGTCAAGGATTGGAAACTGTGCCATGAGGAATAGTTTAAGTAACTGGGATATCTAAATCAGAAAAGAGGACACTATAAGTATAAGTGACATGGAAGCTGTCCCCTAAAATTTATTTCAGAGAAAAGAGGAAGAATTTGACTTGTTATTTTGACTATGCTAGAGGGCAGAAGCAGAACTAGTGAGTGTGAATATAAAAAAATGTGTGGGATCTAACAGTGAAATTTATAGCACTAAATGCTTACATTTAGAAAACAAAAGGAAAACCAGTTCAAAGCCAGCCTCAGCAAATTAGCAAAGCCCTAAGCAATTTAGCAAGACCCTGTTTCTCAATAAAATACAAAAAAGTGCTGGGGATGTGGCTCAGTGCTCCTGGGTTCAATCCCTAGTACAAAAAAAAAAAAAAAAGCAAAGAAAAGGGTCTAAAAGCAGTGACTTAAGCCAGTAGCTGGCACTGGCAAACTTTTTCTTTTCTCTTCAGATACTTTTTTTTCTTTTTATAAACAAAGAATATAAAAAGGACTTCTAGTTCATGGGTCATAAAAAATAGGATATGAAATTTGACAACATATTAATGAATAAATAAACAAATGATTAAACAAAAACAAAAGGATGTGAGCTGGATTTGGTCCAGGTTGTTGTTTGTTAAGCCCTGATCTAAAGTTCCATATGAAGAAACTAGAAAGAGAATAAATCCAAACTCAGCAACACAAGAAAATTATTAATAAGAATGCTCTAGGGTTGGGGTTATGGCTCAAGTGGTAGAGTGCTTGGCTAGCATGCATGAGGCACTGGGTTCGATCCTCAGCAGAAAAAATAAAAAAAATAAAGAAATTGTGTCCACCTAAAACTAAAAAATAGATATTAAAAAAAAAAAAAAAGTGCTCTAGAGTGTCCTAAGCATGTTCCTACTAAACGGGAAAGGTCTGTGACCTCCTACAATCCAGTGGAGTGGAGATAGTAAAATAGAAAACAAATGAAAGAGTAGGCAAACAACACCAAAAGTTGGTTCTCTGAAAAGACAAAATTAATTTACCTCTAGCTACATTTATCAGAAAGAAAAGAGTGAAGACACAAATTACAGATATCAGGAATGAAGGAAGGGACATCATCACAGATCCTAGAGATAGTATAATGATAATAATAATAATAAACATCTGAAAGATGAAATGGAAAAATTCTGGGAAAGATACAAACTGCCAAAGCTCATTCTAAAAACAAAGAGGCACCTGAATAGTTCTACATTTAGGCCCTTGTGGCTTTATGGGTAAATTCTACCAAATATTTGAGGGTGCAATTCAAAAAATGATTGTATAGAAAACCTATAGAAACAAAAGAACAGAGCCTACTAATTCATTTTATGAGGCCAACTTTACACTACTCTCCAAACCAGACACCACCACAATAAGAAAAACAGGAACAATAATGAAAAAAGTTGGTGATCTTTTTTTGGTATCAGGAATTGAACTCGGGGAGCCCTCAACCACTGAGCCACATTCCCAGCCCTATGTCATATTTTATTTAGCAACAGGGCCTCACTGAGTTGCTTAGCACCTTGCTGTTGCTGAGGCTGGCTTTGAACTTGTGATCTTCCTTCCTCAGCCTCCAGAGCTGCTGGGATCACAGGCTGTGCCACTGTCTCAGGCAAAAGTTGATTTTTTTTCCCTTTACAAATAAGAAATAGGAGCTTGGTTGTAGCTCAGTAGAGCACTTGCTTAGCATGTGTGAGGCACTAGTTTCGATTCTCAGCAACAAATAAAATAAGTTAATTAAATAAAGTTATAAAAAAAGAAAAATTTTTTATTGTTGTGTGGTGTTATATTTATGAATATATTTTTTAATATTTTATTTTATTTTTTTAGGTGGACACAATGTGTTTATTTTATATTTATGTGGTGCTAAGAATTGAACCTAGTGCCTCCCGCATGCTAGGCGAGCATGCTACCACTTGAGCCACATCCCCAGCCCAATTTATAAATATTTTTAGTTATATAAAAAAGTTAAATTGGTTAGGAAGCAGCCAGAAGATATGCCAATCAGCAGGTATTTATTATTGTTATTATTATTATTATTTTAAAATGGAGAAAGAGAATAAGGGGAGAAGTAGAAATGTGCTCAGCATGATTCCCTCTTCCTTATTTTATACATTTTTTTTTCAAGAAGCCCAGCAACTCAAAGGGAGAGCTGCACTAATGGATTTCCACCCCATATAAGGCAGGCTACAGTGGCAAGGCCAGTGCTCCACAAGGAAAATGTAGTTTGGGAAATTTTCCTGCAGTCTTTACCTTGACATGGCTTCCTTCTTTATCCGAGACAAGGGCCACATAGGTGATTTCATGATGTCTGCAGTACTCTTGTAATTCCTCTTGGGACTGAAACAAATAAACACAGTGTACTGAATAAACACAGACCACCTGGAGCCACTTCAAGTAATTAAGGAGAATGAAAATAACGGTCTTCAATTGTATTCCCAAAGCAATTAATAAATATGCTGATTTCAGGGAATATAAATATTAAGCAAGAAAAGAAAAGGATAAAGAATTTCTTGCCTTCCCTATTTTCCTGATTATTCTAAGGGGTCCTGAACAATCAATGTGGCAAGGCATAGTAAGAGGTTTTCAATAGCTTCAAGTCTTTTTTTATTTTTGTGGAGCTGGGGATTGAACCTGGACCCTTGCACATTACTAGGCAAGTGCTCTACCACTGAGCTACACCCTTAGCCCTTCAAGAACTTCAAGTCTTAATGGAAGGTGCCAAGAATTATACAATGTGTGTACAAACAAGCACACATAGTGAAAAAGCTTTGAGGAAAGCAAAAGAACCAAAAGGAATGCTGAAAGGTGAAAAGCAACAAGCCAGAGAAGCCTGTGGGGGATGCCACTGTGCAGGACTGAAGTCACTGGTCATGGGTTTATATTTCACTGTAAGATACATTTCTCTAACAATCTCAGGTGAAGAGGATGTTGCTGTCAAATGATTAAAAACTGATGGTCAGCACTCTTCTGATATAATTAAAATACAGAATACATAAAATGGACAGCAGCAGTTGTAGAAGCCTCTTGGTAGGTGATATGAATGGAGCAGGAGGGTGGCAGGTTGGTGTCCCTGTTCATCACCAAGCCCTGGGGCACCTTTAGCGTGGGTGACTATGCACTGAAGATCACCCTGGATGATCTCCTGGGAGCACACCCCTTTTGTGATCTATTTGTGACAGCACGGATGCTATTTATCTAGAGCCCCCCGAAGTGTGCCACTTTTATCACCTTTGCACCCAGGGCAGGTGTCAGATCTTATACTGGCAGTGAGGCTGAGGAGACAAAGTCATAGATACATTAAACCCAGAATGCCTTCAGAAGTATGGTACATTGGCCAGGGGTGGTGGCGCATGCCTTTAATCTCAGCTTCTCAGGAGGCTAAGACAGGAGGATCACAACTTGGAGGCTAGCCTGGGCAATTTAGAAAAACCCTGTCTCAAAACAAAAAATAAAAAGGGCTGGGGATGTAGCTCAAGGGTAAAGCATCCCTGGTTCAGTCCCTAGCAAGACTGAAAAAAAAAAAAAAAAAAAAAAAGAAGGGGGGAAAAAATGAAAAAGTAAAAGGTAGGCTAGCATATGGTCCTGCAAAGGTGTCTATATCCTAACCCCTAGAACCTGTGAGTGACTACCCTGGTTTATCTTGGTGGGCCCAGGGTAATCACAAAGGTCCTCATAAGAGGCAGGCAGGCATAGCAGAGTTAGAGAAGATGTAAGGTAGAAGCCTGGATTAAAGAGGGAAGAAGATGCTACACTGCTGAGTTTAAAGGTGAAGAAAAGGGTCATAATGCAAGGACTGCAGGAGGCCTCTTTAGCTCGAACCTGGAGGATGAGATTCTTCCTGGAGCCTCCAGAAGGAATGAGTTCTGCCAACACCAGGATTTTTTTTTTTTAGTATTTTTTAGTTATAGATGGACACAATATCTTCATTTTTATGTGGTGCTGATGATCGAACCTAGTGCCTCATGTGTGAGAGGCAATCACCACTGAGTACAACCCCAGCCCCAACACCTGGATTTTAACCCAGTGAAAATGATTTGAGACTTCTGACTTCCAGAAACGTAGGATAGCAAACACATGTTGTTTTAAGCCATTAAGTTTGTTATTGCAGCAATCACACTAATACAGGAAGCAACTCCAACCACAGGGATAAGCAGAGTTGGACAGAGTCTAAGAAACAGAGGATGATCTGTCATCCAAGCTGTAACTCTCTGCCCTTCACTCATAGGTGCTTTCTGTCCCATTACCTGTGACCAGTCGTACAGGATTTCTGCCGTGATTCCTGCTGACCAGAGTTTCTGGGTTAAATTGATAGCCCTGGACATGGACATCTGGCCGACACTTACAACCAGGAGGTCACAGGAGCTTATTGTAACCTGGAGAAGAAATAGTGGTTACACTTAAAGAATGACACTGCAGATGTGGACAAACAATATGAGAGAAGGTGGCACTCATGGGTAAGAAGGCATTCTTAGAATCTTGTACAACAACGAGGAAGGCTTTGCTTAAAAATGACATTGGGAAAAATAAGACACAGTAAAAAAAACTTTTATATTCTATTTTTAAGATAGAAATTAGCTACTATGGGCAAGTAAAGGAACCATTCTTAACTTTGTAGGCAAAGAGGTTCCATAAGTGTTTGCTACAACTAGAACATCTCCCATTTACATATTGCATGACAGATGAGGAAAAATGAACATCTAAAGTCACCTTGCTGGAGCAGAAGACAAGGACTAAATTGCAAGGATTGCCTATCTATAGCCTTGTATCTATTATATGAAAGATCATTTCCCAAATCCTCAGCCTATAGCTGCTACACTGATGAGATACATATGTGATCTCTGTTCCTGGCATACACTTCCTAAAATCCCTAGAATCTTCAAAGTACTTTTTCTATGCCAATGAGGTGACTGACATGGGGACTGGTCACTGAAAAGACCAACACAGGATAAAAGGGCTAGGACTTTCAATCATATCCTACAACTTCTGGGGAGGGAGGGGAAAGGAGCTGAAGGTTAAGTTGACTACTAATGGCCAAGGATGTAATCAATCAAGCCTATGTATTGAAGCTCCACCAAAAACTCAAATGACAGGGTTCAGAGAACTTCTGAAAAGCTAAATCTGTGGCATTTTCTGGAGGGTTGCATGCCCTGAGGAAATGACACTATCTGCAGTGAGGAGGAAGAGTAGACAGAAAGAACTGACTTGGAGGTCACCCAGAGGGAGTCTGCTGTTCAACACTGCTTCCTTGATGTGTGACAATACAACAGGAGAAAATAAGTTTTTTTTTCCCTTCTCAATTACAAATAATGCTTTTAGGAATGAAAGATATAACAAAGTATGATAGAAAGCCAAGCTGGGACTTACAGGTTCTTCCATGTTGAGGACAGCAGCAAATATCTTGTCTATTGCAATACTGACACCAACCGCAGTGGGAACTGGCCCCAGAGCCTGTGGACCTCTAAACTGGGGAATCTATGGAGAGACAAACAGTTCTGGTTGTGAAATACAGAATAAACTGCGACTATCAGGAAAGCAATGATTAATGAGCAAGCTCTCTGTCAGCAACTTATCAAAGGATTCAATGAAGAGTGTGAGTGTGTGTGAGTGTGTATGTGTGTGTGTGTGTGTGTGTGTGTGTGTTTTAAGACAGAGACGCAAATTTAGGAAAATAACAAATATTAAATCTAGATCTGCATAGTTCAATATGGCAAATCTGAACTGACAGGTGCTGTACATGTAAATGCACACCAGCTGCAAAGACTTGGAGTAAATAAAGAACGTAAAATAGCTTGTTGATAATTTTTGGAAGTTTGAGTAAATGTTGAAATGAAATTTTGGATATAACTAGGTTAAATAAAACATATCACTAAAATTTCACTTTTTATTTACTTATTGTTACTAGATAATCTAAAATTATATATGTAAGTTCCAAACCAAGACAGAGGAGGTATACTTTTCCCTACTCTTCCTAAGTATAGCTAAAAATCCTGGATGTTACATATAAAACAAGGAGACTCTACAAGTGGAGAGAGGCAGACTGTCTAGGGACTGCAGAATGCGAGGATGACAATGGTGAATTCTCAGGTTTGCTCTTTGCTTCATACATCATGGATTAAGTACTGGAGAAACTGGCAACCCAGAAATGCCAAGAGGAACCAGAAAGGGGAAACCCAGTAAGGCAGATAACTTTAGACAATAATTTCCCTGCTCCAGCTAAACATCATAAAAAAAAAGCCCAGGCCCACTCCCACCAGTGAAGGCAGGGTGCAGAGTATAGTCACCCTTACCCTGGCAAGGTGGCTTCAGAGGAGAGCAAGCAGAGAGCTAGGATTTTCACATCTGCCTAGCAGTAATGCCCACCACCTCCCCACAACAATGCCAGTGGAGGCCAAGATCCCCAGGATACTGGATTTTACCCTCACCCAGGCAGCAAGAAAGTATCCCTCCCTACTGGGGTGGGGCCAGAGGAAGCTGAGTGGGAAGATGTGATTATCACTGGCCTCCTGCCAGTTCTCTCCCCCTACCATGGATAGGTGGAGGCTTGTGGGAAGCAGTAACATGGTGCCCTTTCACCTGGAGGTGTAGATGGAGGATGAGTAAGGAATCTGGCACTCCGTGTCCATACCACGTAGCATCAGAGATGGCCTGCTAAAGCATAAGATCCAGATAAGTTCCAGTCTCATAACATGAGACTGCAGATGTCCAGGACACATACATCCTACCAAGAACTGAGATATAAAAGTAACAGAGAAATATTCAACACACACTAAAACCAAGATCACATACCTGTTGGAATTACATGGCAAAGATTTTAAAGCAACCAGCATAAAAATGCTATAACATGTATCATGAACAGGCTTGAAAACAAAAATAAACAAAAATCTGAATGCATCTCAGCAAATGAGAAGATAAAACAAAACAAAAACTTCACTGAATGGGCCAAATAACAGACAAGAGGAAAGAAATGGTGACATTAAGTTAAAACAACTGAAGTCACTCAATCTGTAAAAGAGAGAACAGAGGCTGTGAAGTAAAATGTGCCAGAAGCCCAAGGTTAGAGACGATAAAGAGACAGAGTGGCTCTCTCTTTCTCTCTCTCTCTCCAAAGAATGCCTGAAAAATTCCCAGGGTTGGCAAAAGACAAACTTGAGGATTTAAGAAAGAAGCTAAGAACAGAGCAGGATAAATCTGAAGAAATTCATGCCAAGACATATTATAGTTTAATTTCAAACTCAAGACAAAAACAAAATCATGAAAGTATCAAGAGAGAAACATTTTTCCTAGAGGGTAAAAGTAATTCAAATTACAGAGGATTTCTCATCCGAAACCATAAACTTAAGGGAAATTTAAGAGAATTTTTTTCTCCTCTTGGATTTTAAAAATTGTGTTTGACAAAGCAAAAAGTTTAACATTGTTTGATGTGGATCTCAATGGCATAGAGCAAACACTGAGGGCAATTAGATCATAAATGAGGCACAGGTAAAGGGATGCAAAGGGAGGGAGGTTTTTGCCCTTGAGCTATACTGATAATGCCAGGAGATAAGTGATAGAACAGTTCTCTTGATTGTGGCAGTCCTTACAGGAATCTATACTTTTGATAAAATGGCACAGACTGTACAGATACCTTGTGCCAATGTCAATTTTCTGCTTCTGATATTTTATAGAAGTTAACAAAGGATTGTAATCACTAGAGGAAACTGGGTAAAGGTTCTTCAGACCTCTCTATACTATCTCTGCAACGTCCTGTGAGTTTCTAATTATTTTTTTAAAGTTTAAAAAATTACAAATGTGGTTCACATTATATTTGTATTTCTAGATGAATGATACAGAGATATTCAATTGTATTACTGGTTTATGTAGGCTTATAAATATTCAAAATAATAAGCTCAGGAAGAAATAAAATTAAGCCAGAACTAATAAACACAGGGTGAGGCCTCACCAGCAGATCATATCTGCCACCGGCTGCAAGGATTTCAGGTACGGCTCTCTGCCTCCGTCTGATAAATGCCACAAACTGGAAGATGATTCCATTGTGCTGTTGTACCTTATAAACCAAGCCCAAGTTGATCAAGACCTAGAGTAAAATGCCATACAAATGTGTCAAGGACTGGAGATTTAGAATACAGAATACAATACTGAAAATGCTGTTTTCCATCAACAGCATCAGAATAATCCATTTAGCATAAAGAAAATACTGAGCAATTTCTGGCATGAAGTCTGTTTAACTGTAGCCTGCCACGCAAGAGAAAATATATTCTCTTCAAGAATAAACATCGCTGGCTAGGCTGTGGCTCAGTGGTAGAGTGCTTGCCTAGCATGAATGAGGCACTGAGTTCGATCCTCAGCTCCACATAAAAAATAAAAGAATAAAATAAAGGTATTGTGTCCATCTACAACAAAACAAAAAACCAAAAAAGAACAAACACCTCTCTGAGGCTAACACAGTAAGAATTTCTATAGGAGGGCTTGGGGATGCAGCTCAGTGTTAAATAAAAACATGATGACATGAGGCTCTAGGTTTGATCCCCAGCACTGAAAAAAAAAGAAGAAGAAGAAAGAAAAAACTGCTGCATGGTAGGAATTGAGATGCTTGCAAAGAAATCCTAATTTAAGCCAAAATTATTTGTAGGTATCAAATGCTCCAAAACATAGAAAGTAGAGCTTTTCTGTTAAAATAAAACACTGGCATTAAGGAAATAAAAAACATTTCCCCCTTGAGCTATTATTAATGCTACAAATTTGTCCTGCTACTATCAAATAGTTGCCAAACCTGTAATTTTATGCCAAGTTTCTTCAACAGTCCAACAACCTCCTCTAGGTCTTTTAAGCCATACTTCACCAACTGGGCAACACCTGTTTTCTGTTTTATTAGTGAATTTATTGTTGGTGTTAAGTCTTGCAGTTCCCCCTTCTGCTCGATAAACTTGTAGAGTCGGCAGAGCTGGAAAGCAATAGGCAGAGTTAGCAGTCAATCCATGGCAGGGAAAGACTCTTTGTTCATGTGCTCAGGGAGTTCGTACACTTCTAGGAAGGGGGATTTTGTGGTCAATGGTAATTTAAGCCTTTGCTGTAATCAAAAGGGTCATCCTTGTGTGATAGTAGAAGCAAATGTGACTCCATTTTGTTTTTGACTTCATCCTGTAAAACAACCATGCCAAGAAGAAGGGTCATGACTGGGGCAAGATGTTCTTTTCCTTTTGCTATAGAAACCTTTAAGAATGCAGAACTACCTATTGGGGCATTGTTTCTGTAACTAGGGTAACGGGGCTCTGTTTCTGTAACTGGGGTGATTGGGCTGTGATTGGCTAGGCTTCCCACCACTTGACTGCACTCTCCTGCTTCTGTAACCTGGCTTGCTTGCATTGGCTAGACCCCCGAACATCCCTTGTGCGGTTTTCAGGCTTATAAGGAATGACCTTGCAATTGTTCGGGGCTGATCAGGGGAACAGCTTTATGTTCTGGTTAGTTGCCACTAGTGTGCTTCAATAAAGGCTTGATTTGATTATACATGAGTGGTCTGGAAGTCAGTTTATGAAACCCTGGGACGAAGCTTTAACTATAACACTTGCCCCCAACTATAAAGCACTTCACAGAAGTGCTTCAGACACACACATCTCACTTTACTAACATGCCCTTACAGTTGATAATGACCCCAGCAAAGCAGAGCCTGGCACTAGCAGAGCCTCTATTGTACATCTTCAGCCAACATTGCTGCTCTTTACCTTTCTCATTCCCATGAATTCCCATTAACACAGGCACACAAATGGAGAGACAAGAAGGCAGAGTCTGACTTGTTCTAATACTCAGAATGAGTCAGAAAGCTGCCCGTCTTCCTTTTGCTTGAATAATTCCTATTTGGTGCCTTGGGATGTCTTTTCCTGCAGGCAGCCTCTGGATCCTTCATTCCCTTGTGTCAGACCAGGATTCTTCTAGATGCATACTTTGACCAACTGGTTGCTTTCATTCTGTTTGTCTCACAGGAGGGCAGTGCTAGAAATTATCTAGCCTTGGGCCAACCACAGTCTTTGGCACACAGTAGAAGGAAGAGGAAGGAGCTATGGACATACAGCCAGAGAGAAAAATCCTAGGAGCTAAACTGGAAATTACTAAGAAACAAAATTATAGCTATTTTTCAGACTGTAGGTAGAATCCAGTTCATCTATAAATTGGCACATGAAAGCTAGAAGCTGAATGAAGACTCAGCTTAACATAATCAAATTAATCATAAATTACTTAAATATTTTAAAAATAAGTTAAAATCTTTTATATTTTTATACTGTTTGCTATATTAATGTTTTAAATACAAAATCATAAGTCTTTGATTTATATATTTTTTTCCTATGGCTGGGGAAATAGCTCAGAGGAAGAACCTTGAGGCCTTAGATTTGATTCCTAATACTGCTGGAGGCATAAAAAAAAAAAAGACAGAAAAAAATTTTTCTTCTTAATTAAAAAAAAGTGTCTCTTCAATACATTTTAATGTTAAATTACCCCATTAATAAACTACTAGAAGTCAATACCTCCAGATTTTGGTCTTCATCCAATCACAACTAACTCCATATGACGCTGGACAAATCACATCTTTTTGGGGTTCAGGTATCTTATATGTAAAATAAGACTGGGCCAGATACTCAAAATTCTTTTGCAATATTTCTGTTTCCTTTTCTTTCTTTCTTTCTCTCTCTCTCTCTCTTTTTTTTTTTTTTTGTATTGGGGCATGAACCACTGAGTCACATCCCTGGCCCTTTTAATTGAGACAGGGTCTTGCTAAGTTCCTTAGGGCCTCACTAAAGTTGCTGAGGCTGGCTTTGAACTTGTACAAGATCTTCCTGCCTCAGCCTTCCAAGCCGCTAGAACTACAGGCATGTGCCAACATGCCTGGCTTTACTTCCCTTTCTAACATCCTCAGTGTTCCATTTTAAAATAAATAAATTAAGTACCCAATGTCTTTATTGATAACATTTTTCTATTTTAAAACTACTTAAATATACAACTTCTAATGCTTAGTATCATCAAATGATCATGGGTACAGATTTAGCAAAAAGAAAAGAAGCCAACATTTAGCAATCAATGCAGCTATCATATACAAGTGTGTGATATTTGTGATCCTTTTTGTGTATGGAATCAGTTAAGTGGATGGTCTCTTGATAAGATTCTTGGTACCATTTATTTATACCTGGGACTATTTCTACAAATAGAAGTGTGCTTTGTACATGTGCAGGGCACATGTAGATACTGTTCTTCATACCTGAACAGTGAGCTGCTAGGTCAATTTGCATATCACTTTTATCTCTTCTAATATTAAATATTTAATGTTTAAGCCAGCTCAGTTTTCAGAACTCCTAGTGCTATGCATCTCATTTACCTTCTCTACCTGAAAGTGGGTTCATGTGTCCCCAGTGAAAGTCATTTTAAAGAGCTGAATGCAAATAAATGCTACACACAACCCTTTGTGACATTTTAGAGGCCAGTATGAATTAAGAAGTTGTACTGAGGGGCTGGGGTTGTGGCTCAGCGGTACAGCACTCGCCTAGCATGTGCAAGGCCCTGGGTCGATCCTTAGCACCACATAAAAATAAATAAATAAAATAAAGCTATTGAGTCCATGTACAACTAAAAAATAAATATTAAAAAAAAAAGAAGTTGTATTGAGGCCAGGGGCCTCTCTACTTACTCCTCTTGTGCTCCAGCACTCTGTCTACCACACAGTAGGTATCTAAAAGACTGCGGGGCTTTGCTGGGTGTATATACAATCATATTTTAGTCTATCCTACATGTGACAGATTAAACCACAGGATCATGTAATCAAGTGTCAACTCAGAGGCTAGAAGGCTTCTGGGAAGGTTAAAACTCTTCTTATGTAAATATTCAGGAAATGTACAAAAGTCTGCTGTCTTCTGCCATGTAGCCACTTGTTTACTGTGCCAAAGATCTGGGGTTAATCTGATGCCTGTAGCGAGAACATGACCAATCTGTTTACCCCACAATATTTTCTTATTGCTGATGGAATTGAATATAAGATTTTAGGAGTAGGAAATTTTGAAAGCAAAAGCTGTAATTCAACTCTCAGGAGTTAGAAGACTGGGGTGGGGTGGAGGGCACCAGTATTTGCAGGGCTCTGTGCCTCCTTCTGATCCCATATGGTCCATTTCAGAAAAGGACAACTGGCACTACCTTTGCTCAGCAGGAGATTCTGGTAAGCACAGGCTGTGTGAGGGGTGAAGAGAAAGGATTTAGTGATCCAGAAGGAGCAGGATGATTACAGCACATCAAAAAGATGTGTAGAGAGACATTTTTGATCACAGTGTTAGTTTCTCTCTTCTAATCCCAGAGGTTGCTATGGTACCTAATACTCAAGGGAAAACTGTGTCTTCGAGGCAGCAGGAAGTACAGCTACCTCACTGCTACAAGAATTTGATGACATTTTCTTGCATCATAAAATTACAGAGAGAGCTGTAATAACACCATAAGAAAGTACTTACGCTATTAGATGACAAAGACAGATTACAAAATTTAGCTTCCACTTCTCTTCTTGTTAGCTTCTCTGTCTAAAGCAGAAGAGAAAGAGAACAATGAGAGTCACCTCACTGAACAAGATAGAATTTCCAGGCGAATTCTGACACTCATATCCTTCATTCTGGACAAAGTAAAGGATGCATTTAATTCTGTGAATAAAGAACTCTTCCCCCCATTTTTCATAAAACATAACCCACACTATTTAAAAATTATTTTTAGAAGGAAAGTTGTACTTACAGAATGGGGTGGAGAACCAGCTCTTGAGAGGCTTTACCAGGGCATTTCTGTTTAGGTGGGGAGGGAGTCATTTTGATCTGTGTTCCCTTAATAAAAGCTCAGGTCTGAGTACTTCATCCCATAACAACTACAGCCCTTCTGCACAATCCCCAAGGCTTCTGCCAGTGTCCAACTGACATAATATTGTATCTGTCACTGCCAAACAGTTGCAGCACTTTGAGGAGAAGACAGACCCACTAAGAAACAAATAAAAGCCGAGTTGTGTGGTGGGTACATGCCTATAATCCCAGTGACTTGGTAAACTGAGGCAGGAGCAGGAGGATCTCAAGTTTGAGGCCAGCCTCAGCAATTTGGTAACTTAGTGATCTTAGTGAGAACTTAATAACTTAGTGAGAACCTGTACCCACCTCCAAAAAAAAGGTTGGGAATGTTGCTCAGTGGTAAAGGGCCCCTGGGTTCAATCCCCAGTACCAAAAGTTAAGTGTGGACCCTTGATGTGTACCAGACAGACAAATGAAATGCTAGTCAAGTCTTTTGGTTTATAAAAAACAATAAGCCATTATGGACTTCTATTATTCATTCTGCTTTAATCATAGATTGTTACTATTAGTTACTGAATCTCCTGGATGTCCCTTATTTATTATGAAAAAACTAAGCATGAAAAGAAATTAGGAAATATAAACATTCACCTCCCTCCCAACATCAGAATATAACACTAATTTATTTTTTAAAATATTTTTCTTCCAGGCTCTGCATGCACATCCATAGTATAAAGTAAGGAATACTATGGTATGGCTAAATCAAGGAAGAGTAACTAGAGATGCCATAGCCCTCATTCTACAGGAAAAGAGCAGATAATGAGGCCCTACCAGATATCTAGGCCCCTAATTCAAATCAGTATGATCTATAAATGACTTAATTGATAAGCATAGGCAGGCTAAAAGAACAAAGGGAAGGGTGTAGATCTTTTATTCCCAAACAAGCACTCCCTCTCTTGCCTCCATAAAGTAGCACTGTCATGAAAATGAAGTGGGTTAATCCACATAAAGAACTTAAAACAATTTGAACCCAGATAGGTGCTCAGTAAAGGTTAACTATTTTAAAAATGATTACAAGCAAGTACCAAAACCAATTAGTTGGTGATTTCTTACCTCATGAAGTGAATTACTGAAGAACATTTTTTTTTTTTTTGGTGCTGGGGATTGAACCTAGGGACGCTTAAACTCTGAGCCACATCCACAGCCCTTTTTTGTATTTTATTTAGAGACAGGGTCTCATTGAGTTGCTAGGGTCTCTTGCTGAGGCTGGCCTTGAACTCATAATCCTCCTGCCTCAGCCTCCTGAGATGCTGAGATTACAGGCATGTGCCACCACGCCTGGCTTAAAGAACTTTTAGTCTCTTAAAAATTTCACCCTTTGGGCTGGGGCTGTAGCTCAACAGCAAAGTGCTCACCTGGAATGTGTGAGGCCCTGGGTTCGATCCTCAGCACCACATAAAATATCCTGGAAGTTACTAGTAGTACAGGGCTTAGTATAGAATAACACCTCAACCAATCCTTGCTAATTGTTGATATAATTAAAGCCCATCAGTTCTTTCATCTTAGAGCAATGAAGAAAGGAGATAAAACTCACAATTTAGTTTTATGGTTGCAATAATAAGAAAATAATCATAGACTATTATTATTATCTTTCAACATCAAATCAAAGTAATTACATGCTTACCACAGCATCATATAGAATAACATAGACTTGACTGAGTTTATCTTCTGGGATCCCACAGTGTAAGAGTATTGCTTTCAATAACATTGTATGGTTCAAGTAAATACTGTAATTTCTTTCCTGGGATATAAAGAAAAATTATTATTATTTTTCATTATACAAGAATACAGGTATATGGCCAAATCTAGAATCTTAACTGTGAATTTATTACCCTAAAACCACAGAAGTACTGAATTTCAGCATCTTTCCTTCTAGTTTATTCTTTCACATACATTCTTTTTACATTGCTATAGTTGAAGAATATGATAAAGTTTAACACTTTTACTACGTGCATCATAATACTCTTGCTGTTCTTTAGCCATGTTAAAAAGCCCCGAATCCACACAAATTTCAAACAAGGAAAGATCTGGTTCAGTAGTAGCTGACTTATAAGCACAGGCTGATGGAATAGTTATTGTTACTTTTGTCTACATCAGTCACTTAATGAGTGTTCAGAATGCTGAGCTGAGTGCTGAGTTGGGGCAATGAGGTATAGGGAAAAGTGGAATCATGGGCTCTGCACTGAAACAGTACACAATACATTTGAAGAAAACACCACAAATCAAGGGAATATGTGGATGCCTCATGTCAAGAGTCATGAAAGTTAAGAAAAGGTGGCAGTCAGGCTTCATAGGGAGAAAAGGGCCCAAACCATGGCTGGGTAAAGAAAAGCCTGTTTGGACAAGGGGACACCTGTGACTGGTAGTGGCAGTAATGCAAGGCATGTGTGGGGGACGGGGAAGGATGCCAGAGGAGAGCTGGCAGCTTTACCCAAGACAAGATAGTGTGTGAACATGGTGAAAAGGCATGGGGAGTTAAGCAAGCAGATGTAGGAGGAGCCACTGAGGGTTCTGATTTCTTGCATTTTGCAATAATGTGCAGAGAAACAACACTGTCTTCCTAAATAAAACCAGTTTCTGTCATGGTGGAAGTGAGAGCCCAAGATGAACCTCAAAAGCAACATGATCAAACCTTTGAAGCTACTTTGGGAAAGATGTCATTCATTGCCTGCAGAAACCGAGAAACAGGTCTGTGGTTGTTGTAGACACTTAGTGAATGAAACTAGCAGGGCAATCTCAAAATGTTAAAATTTGGAAGGAACCTGAAGTGCTGGAAACTCTTGGATAATCTCGTAGATAGTATAGATGGTTTCAGCAGTGGGCAGAGAGCTGTTGGTAGTAGAAGTGACGATGTCAAATGCACATTCTAGAAGTTCTTTGGGATGAAATCGATCTAACTTGCGGGGTCTAAATACACGTTCTATGCAGTATCTGAAGAGAAACCCAGATTTCCAAGGTCATTACTTATTAGAAATAAATATGTATGAAAAAGATAAAAGAAACGAAGTTTGAAAAAAATCTATCAAGAGGGCTTAAAGACAGAATAGTCTCGCTTTGTGATCTGGGTTCTAATTCCCAGTTTTGCAATATTAAACTATGGAGCTTACTTTTTTTGTGTGTTTTTTTAATGTCTGAAGTAGAGATGAAATTACACACAAAACCAATTTTACCTTAAGTGATTGCTTTCTACACAGACACCCACACCTTAGGACTGACTCTAATTGCTCACTTGTAGCTAGAATAAAGCACGTGAAGAGCTTTCATTTGAAGAAAGAAGCTGGAAGGTAGGGCGCCTCGTTGACAACAATACTGGCTCCAATTTATGAAGATCTTGGTGTTTGACCCCTGTGGTATCTGAATATACAGAGAACCTGTCCCCAATGCTAAGTGCCAGGAGCTGCTCAGTGTTCAGCATTCCTGCTGGGTCGACTCCACTTTTTTACAAGTAGCTTTTGTTCAGTTACCTGTGTAGGCAGTTTTCACACAGAGACCACTGGCTATTTGTCCCTCCAATTAAATTTTAAAAGGGGCCATCTGTGATCAAGAATAGCCAGATTTTTTTTCCCCCCCAAGCAACCATTTGTGAAAATAATGAGCTGTGTACGTTGCCTGGGGACATGAAGAAGGCACAGAATAGATGTCAGGTCACTTAAATGTTACATTCCTTCTATAGAGGGGGCTGAACTCCCAGTCCCCTGAGAGAAACGGGCACTGGGGCTGGGCTTTCTGACCCTATTACAAGCTCAATACTTTCAGCTCACAATTCTTTACTGTACAGGAGTCATGGAACATAAAATATTCTTCCCTGGTTTCCTTCACAGCTACCAAATGGAAGAAAGCCTCTATTGTTTCTTACCGTTTTAAATTCAATATATTATTTCTTGCCACATATCTTGCAAAAGGGACCTGAGAAGTAAACAAGATTTTAAAGGTCAATGTCAAGATGTGCTAACAATTATATTCTTCCAGTTTTAAAAATATCAACTTTATTGACATATAACCCACATACCATAGAGTTTATCCTTTTAAAGTGTACAATTCAGAGGCTTTATTATAGGCAAGCAATACACAATGATGTTTAGGTTAATGATGGAAAGTATAAACAACAGTGGCCCTATAAGATTTTATCACAAAAGGATGTTGTAGCCACCTTAGTTTATGTAAAAAGTACACTCTAAGATGTTTGCACAGTAACAAAATCGCCTAATGATTCATTTCTCAAAATTTATCCCCCTCATTAAGTGACACATGAAGGTAGTGAGACTTGTGCACCTCTCACACTCCTGAAATGTTCCCTAATACTTCAGTCAGCAGTAGACTCCACTGCTAGACACCAATTTCTGTCACTGAGGCATTTCCTAGGTTATTTAAACTTGAGGAAAATTTACTTTTAGTTGAATATATTTTGCCATACACACACACACACACGCACACACACACACACACATGCATTTATTTTTTAAAATTGGGCACTTTACCACTGAGCTACATCCCCAGTCCTTTGCTGAGGCTGGCATCAAACTTTCGATTCTCCTGCCTCAGCCGGCTGAGTTGCTGGTATTACAGGGGTGCACCACCTTACCTGGCTTTGCCAAATTTTTATTATGCCAAATTAAAATCTGTGCAAGTTTTTGGTTATCTATGAATTTAAAAAAATGTCATTCATAACAATGCAATAAAAATAGGTATTATCTCTTATGGTGAATTTCCTATCAATTTTTTGGGAATTTTTTTTTTTTTTTTAAGTGCTGGGATTGAACCAAGGTCCTTGCACATGCCAGGCAAGTGATATACACTGAGCTACATCCCCAGTCCAAGATATTCTTAATAACCACCCACAAAATTACAAAACCACTGTCTGATTGCCCCAAGAATTCTAACACATTATCAATAGTTAGGAAATCATTCTCAAAAGATAATAACTTTCCCCCACCCAGTACTGGGGATTGAAACCAGGGGCTCTCTACCTGAATTACATCTCTGGCCCTTGCTATTTTTTATTTTGAGACATGATCTTGCTAAGCTCCTGAGGCTGGCCTTGAACTTGTGATCCTTCTGCCTAAGCCTCCCAAGTTGCTGGGATTATAGGTATGCACCACCATACCCATCAAAAGCAATCACTTTCTATTTTTTGTAGTTGAATATCAACTTGCAAGGAGCATATGCTTAAAAATCTCACTTAAATATCAGTACTTAGAGAATAAGAAGCCAGTTTTAAGTATAACTATGTAACTGTACTTCTACTCTTTCTTTAACAGGGCCCAAATATCAGTTATGTGATTTGTCTCTACCCCAAAACAATCCCCAACTACTTTCCTTACACACATATGCACACACAGGATATAATCAGGTAGTTCTCAGAAAAATTCACAAGGCTAATAAACTTCAAAAAAGATGTTCAGTCTCACTAGAAATGAGAAGCTATCTCAACTTCACTCATCAGACTGGCAAAAGATGTTTAAATTAATATCATCCATATATGACCATGGTATAGGAAAATAGGCACTTTCACACACAGCTGATGAAGAGTGCTAGTTGCTAAAGCTTCAGAAATGTAACCTGAAACTTTACAATAAAATTTTCAACAATATTATGCATATATTATACTTGAACTAGCAATCCCACTTTGAAGAATTTATTAAAAAAATAAGAACATATTAGTGTATGAATGTTAAAAGGATGTTCATTGCCATATTATTGTGGTGGCTCAAAACTGAAACCTGTCTGCATGTTCATCAACAGTAAAATAGCTGAATGATTTGCTATCAATATTACAGAATATTAAGGAGCTATTAAAAAGAAAGTTTAGATTTATATTTTATATAGATCAAGTATATATATGTATATAAATTGAAAATGTGATACATTTGCATTTATATTTGATATAATATAGATATTGAGATACATTTGTATCTCTATTTGATCTATAGGAATCTAAATTAGATTAAAAGAAATGTAAGTTTCAATAGAATTTGAATATTCCATTTTGCTATACAGAAAACAACATTAAAAAACCCCAAACCTATGTTTATCTAAGTATAAGTGTAGAAAAGGAAAATAGAAGCTAAGAACATGGAAGGATAGGCTGAGGATATAGCTCAGTGGCAGAATGCTTGCCTAGGGACTCACTCATGCTAAGCACCCACTCCACCATTCACGTCTCTATTTATAAGTGCCTTGTTTAAATTAGGGCTTAAACCCTTGCCTGTCATATGCACTCATGTTTTCCTCTGATCTGTTCGGGTACTATCATACACACAGACGGGCTTGACAGCAGCTAGCACTATGTAAGTGAATGATTGGTAAAACTGCTACTTAGGGAGTCCTGGGGGTCAGAATAAGCAAGTATGGCAAAAATCAGTGCACCCAACTAGCAGCAACACTTGTTACAAGAATGTAATTGATTTGGAATGTTAACATGTTAGAATTTTACTAAAGAATTAGAAAGAAAGTAGAAAATATCCTGTGTTTATTTGTCTGAGTTGACCAGGCTAACCTGCTGTGGTTGCTCAGCAGAGCTCAACACTGAAGTGCACATGTGGCAATGCAGGGTTCTGGTTCCTAGAGCCATAAACACCTGAGGTCTTAGCAAGGTGGATGGCATTCAGGGTCAAACATTTACTAAACTTCAGTAATGCTCTTAACCCTGAAAACGCCTGTAAGAATATACTTCCTTAAAGTGACATTTGTAATATAATTCTGGGGGGAAAATATCTGGTAATTAACAATGAACAGATAAGCCATTCCTGTAAGCAGACACAGCACCCAGATTGTCAGTAGAGCATTCTGAGCCTTACCCGCAGGTCGAAAGGAAGCATCACCAGCATCCCACTGTGGTCCATGAACACAGCTGCTTCATTGTGCTCATATATTTGTTTATTTCGGGGAAGCAGTAGTGGGGTACACAACTGGACAGCTCCTAACCAAATTAGAAAAAAATCACTAATTATTAGGTTCTTATTCTCCCTAGGAGGCAACTTAAAACAAAAATCTGATAGCTAAGTAACTTGCTACTGGGACCATTGAACTCAGCTTTTCTTCAGTTCTCTAAATTTTACAGGTGGAGAGCTCATCTAGGGCTAAATTTGTTAATTCTGTCATAGTTCTGACTCTACAAGCCAACTGTATTTTAATAGCAAGTTTACAATATTCAAATTAGTTTCTCTTCAGCAAGGCAAGTTATAAAAATAAGCCTAAATTTAATGATGTCAATTGCTTATAATTGAATTTTAATATATGGTTGTACCAAAACCCTCAGATAGCACTTATTATTAATGACAAAGTCTTATGGAAAAATATGATTTTTTAAAATAGGTCATACCATGCCTTTTAAAGATGCGGATGATGGTTTCACACACATGTTGTTGTATCTTGGCTGTACGGATTGAGAAGTTGCCCTAAAATGAGACGAATTAAAATGTCATCATCAAAGCCTAATTAAAGATATCCCTTAGAAACCCTGTCTCAAAAAAAAAGGGCTGGGGATGTGCCTCTGGATTTAATTCCTGGTACAAAAAAAAAAAAAAAAAAAAGAGAAACAACAGATAAGCAAAAAGACACAAATAAAAAAGTCATCAATAGCCCTGCAAATAAGTTTCTAATATTGCCAACCAAAAAAAACTGCTTCTTAAAATCTATGTTGATCGTCCACAAATTTTACCAGTACTTCCTCTATTGGTCTTTTAAAATTGCATCATGTTAATCATACAGAACATAACCAATATCTGTTATATACTCAGTTGACTTTATCAGATTTTAACATTTTGCTATATTGATTCAGGCATTTTTTTCCTTTTTAAAAATTTTTAAAAATTTGCTCTTTTTAGATATATATGACAGTAATATGTCATAATATGTCATATTACACATACATGAAGTATAATTTATTCTAATTAGGATCTCATTCTTGTGATTGAACATGATGTGAATTACACCAATCCTGTATTCATATATGAACATAGGAAAGTTATATCTGATTCATTCTGCCTTTCCTATTCTTATTCACCTCCCTCCCCTTTGTCTAACCCAATGAACTCCAACCCGCCCCCGACCTCCACCCTGTGCGCCTTATTGTGTGTTACCATCTGTGTATCAGAGAAAAGATTTGGCCTTTGGTTTTTTGGAATTGGCTTATTTCACTTCAGACATTTTAAAGAAAAAAATGTTAAAGATTCCTCAAGCAAGCAACTCAGTTACACTTCAGAAGTCACCTTGGCAGCTTTAAAAAAGAAGAAAAAACTTTTTTTTTCACTAGGGATTGACCTAGGGCCTAGCATATATCAAACACACATTCTATCACTGAGCTACATATGCTCCTAGTCCCTTAAAGAAGATTCTTTTTCCTTTCTTTCCTTCCCTTTTCCCCACCCCTTCTTTCTTGTTTAAAGATGGGATCTTGCTATGTTGCCCAGGTCGGCTATGCATTCAAGCAATCCTCCTGCACCACTGTACCCAGATCCTTAAAGAGACTCTTATTAAAGAGCCTCATACCTGGAAATAGAAGCTAGAGATGCTGGGGAGCCTTGGGCATCTGTGTTGACAGAAAACCTCCCAAGTGTCAGGATAGGTAACTCCACTGGGAGCCGCTCTACTACTTAAATCTGGATCTGATTGCTTGATGTTTCTGGCCATAAGCAGCAGAGCTAGGGAACAATACCTTAATCTCCTGGGTAGGTGTAGAAGGGGATGGACCTAGAATTCCTTAAAGTAAGTGATTAACAGTGTGGCTATTCTTTCCAGAATAATGCAGGTTAACACTTTTTTTTTTTTTTTTTTTGAGGAGGGGGAGAAAAATTTTTTAATATTTATTTTTTAGTTTTTGGTGGACACAACATCTTTTATTTTATTTGTATATGGTGCTGAGGATCGAACCCAGTGCCCGGCCAGCACGCTATCACTTAAGCCACATCCCCAGCCCAGATTAACACTTTTTGCATGTACAATTTGGGGCTTTTTGGAGCTCAGTATATGGTGGAAGCATTAGAGGAATCCATAAGAAATAAGAACCTGACTTGATCTTTTGGTGGACCAGGTTAAACTCTCTGTGCTGTGGAGCTTAGCTCACCTTCAGTATGTCACTATCGTAGGTGTAATCGATGGCAGGGGAAATGCGCTGGGAGAAGATCTGGGCCATCATGGTGCGGTAGGCTTTCCCATCCACGTTGGCCAGCGTGTGATGCAGTACTTCATGCAGCTCAGATTCCTCCATCTGGGGTGGGGGAAGCAGCTCACTCTTCAGCAGTTCTGTGGCTGTGGGACGTTTTGCTGGGTCATGGTTTAACAACCAGGAGATGACAGATTTCTATAATGAAACCCAGGCATGCAGCTGAGAGGATGCAGTAAATGATGCTCAGGAATTATCCTGACAAGCTGATGGTCAATTCAGGTCAAAGAAAAGGTACCACACTTCTTGTATTTAGTAGGGGCATTTCAAAAGTTTTTTTTTTTTTTTTAATTTCTAAATATGTCATTTACCCCCTACACCTTGTTATGACCACAGAGTTGTGTAACAATTTAACAGTAGTATTTCTTAAAAGGCAGAAGCCTTTAATATTTCTTGTCACAAACAATAAAAAAAAAAATTAACCCAGTAAACATAGAAGTAGAACTTAGGGGTTGTGGGTGTGGCTCAGTGGAAGGTGCTTGCCTACCCCATGTGAGGCATTGGGTTTGAGCCTTAGTACTGCATAAAAATAAATAAATAAAAATAAAGATATTGTATTCATCTACAACTAAAAAAATTTAAAAAAGAAAGAAGTGTAACTTAGGTCTTACAAACACACAAAATACTACATAGAAGACATAAGCACAGAAACCAAATAGCTCTAGATGCCCAGTGTTAGTGATATTATAAACATACTAGTTGCTAGAATCCTTAAAGCATATTAAACATACTGTTTTATTTTTTCTTCTCCATTTGTGTTATTTGTACTGATATCAATCATTCCCTCGAATTCTCTCAATTTATGCTATTTATTGGTTATACTCCCATAGCAGGGAGCCTCTTGAAGAAAATCTAAAACTTGGAAAGGATGCTTAACAATTCTTAATCCTCTTGTTCATAGCAGGATTTATTTAAAAATGTTAGATGAACATTTGAGATCAGAAAGCCTCAATTTTTAGTTGGGCGTGGTGGTGCATGCCTATAATCCCAGCGGCTTAGGAGGCTGAGGCAGGTGGATTGTGAATTCAAAGACAGCCTTAGCAACTTCGTGAGGTCCTAAGCAACTCAGTGAGACCTTGTCTCTAAATAAAATACAAAAAAGGGCTGGGGATGTGGCTTAGTGGTTGAGTGCCCCTGAGTTCAATCCCCAGTCACCTCCCTCTTCCGCCAAAAAGAAACTCTTAATTTTTAGATGTATTTTATTAAGCATTTTCCTACTATATATCTTTTCTAAATTACTTCCACTCCTGTTTTAGTGTGAAATAAAAACACCCGTAATTACTTTTCATGTAATATAGGAGTTTTATATTATAAAGATAGGAACTGATATGATTCAACTTTTAAGAAAAAGTTATGTAAAACAGGTAAAAACAATGATACCTCATTCAGCATAATAGACCCTATTTTACTGCTAAATTTCTGTGTGTGACAAAAATTATGTAATACTCAGTCTATCAGCATTTCCCGTGTTCCCTCCTTTGAGATGAAATGCAGTGACATGGAAGGTGGTTTGGTTGTGGTTTGTGTGGTTTGGTTTAGTGTCACTTTAATACATGCCTAACTCAAAGGCTCAAGGGAACCTAATACAGAGTTGATGATAGGACAATAATCCTCATTATGAGAAATGGTTTACATGGTTGCTGTCATTTTGGTTGTTTAATAAAGTTCCTAGGCCACTATAGCTGTCACCATGTTAAAGTACTGAATAAGCCAGGTGCGGTGGCATACACCTATAATTCCATTGCCTCAGAAGGCTGAAGCAGGAGGATTTCAAGTTCAAAGCCAGGCCTTAAGGAACTCAGTGAGACCCTGTCTCAAGATAAAGTATGAATATGAAAAAGGGCTGGGGATGTGCCTCAGTGGTAAAGTGCCCCTGGGCTCAATTCCTGGTACTAAAAAAAAAAAAAAAAAAAAAGTACTAAATAGGACTAATCATGTGTTATGGTTTGGATGTAAGGTATCCCCAAAAAGTTCATGTGTGAGACAATGCAAGATGGTTTGGAGGAGAAATGATTAGGCTATAGCCTTAACCTAATCAGTGAATTAATCCCTAATAGGATTAACTTTGGTAACTTGAGGCAGGTAGGGTCATAACTGCAGAAATTGGTTCATCAGGGGGTGTGGCTATGGCACATATATTTTGTGTTGGGAGAGTGGACTCTCTCTCTGCTTTCTGATCACCATGGGAGCTGTTTCCTTTTGCCACACACTCTGCCATGATGTTTAGCCTCACCTCGAGCTCCAAGGAATACAGCCTGCTGTCTTAGGATGGAGACCTCTGAAACCGTGAATCCCTGAATACCTTTTCTCCTCTATAGTTGTTTTGGTTGGTCCTTTAGACACAGCAGCGAAAAAGCTGACTAAAGTAGCATGCTATAGGAAAAGACTATGAAATAAACATTTAGTTATGATACCCAGAAACCAAAACAAGGGGCTCAATTCAAATCATTACTAACAGCTAACAAAAGAAGCGGAAAAACAACTCAATGTGTTTTCTAATGGTTCTTCACTAACTAAATAGATGTGGTAGAGTGGGTCCCTATTGCCATAAATAAATGCCATGATAAATATTACCAAATGATAGAATGTTAGTGTTAATATAAATAAAGCATACTGACTCTCTTTATTTTATAGGTGAGAAAAATTAAAGTCTAGAGAAGTAGCATGTCTATCCAGACATAACCAATAAGCAAGAAATAGCAAATTTTTACAGTGTTCTATGTTTCTGTTCTCAATATTCATCATTTAAAGGATTTTTGCCTTGACCATAATTGTCAATAAAAGTCAGTTTAAGGGACAAACTTCCATATGAAAGAATCAATAACTGCAGGCTCCACCAAGACAACCAACTGAACAAAGAAGAAAGGCATAACAGAAGTACAATACATTAATTTGCTACTATTCTTTCACATTAGCTGGATGCCAGTATTATTTTATGACGTGAAATACATAACACCCACACACTCAGATATTTATGTTCTGTGGGAGAAATTATCTTGCTTTAAAATTCTGTCAATCAGATTGTCTAAAAAAAGTCCAACACTTCCCCACAAAGTAAGTTATTTCACCCATAAAACAGAACAGAATTACAGTTTTAAATTGTATTTTTGTCTTAAAGTCCCAAGTTTTCTCTAAAACAATGAGCTGTAAATGTATTTTCTCCACCCCCCACACCCTCAATAGGCAAGCTAAGGGTCCAAATAGCACTTCAAAAATACAATGAATCACACAAAAGAACCCTGTAGTTTGTTAATTTTTCTCCACCAGCCCTTAGCATTTTTACAGTGTATTTCAAATCCAATAACATTTTAAGTGTTTCATCTTTTGATACTTTCTCCCATATTGTTCCCAGGACACAAGAGAATGAGTAGCAGAAGATTACTAATTGAAAAAGAAGAAAAACAGTAATTAAAGCCCAAGTCTGAAGACAGCAATTAAAGCATCAGAAAATTACCTGCTTTGTATGCTCTCCATCACTGAAGTCTTCTGGAAACTTGGGGGATGTGGGCTATAAGAATATTATATTCAAATCAGGAAGTGCTTGGAAAACTGCCATTGTGAAAGCATTTATTCACCATAAGTAAGAAAACCAAATAGAGAAATTAAAATCTGCTAACAGGGAAAGATTGAGGAGACACCTTCTTGAAGCCTGATGCTCACTTTTTCATGTATATACACATTATTTTTATACAAACTTCACCTAAATGACAGCCTAGGTTCTAGAAAGTACCTCCTCCAAGGACAAATTATTTAAAAATCTAATGGTTTCAGAGACAGAAAGAGCAGTTATTAAACAAATAGCTGAAAAAAAGTCAAATAGCCCCTATCAAACTGCTAATATAAAGTAAGAAAAAAACAACATTAAAACCACTATGTCTCCAAAAGGTCTGGTATATAGGACCTAAATTATAACATTAATTTGATGGTTTATATATTCTTGAAATGAAGGAGGAAGCATGAATTTTAAACTGAAGAAAGTTACTTCATCAAAGACATAATCAGCTAAGAGCATTCTGATCAAGGCAAGGTGATAGTAAGCACTTTATCTACTTTTTCATTACAGCTTTCCATACTGCACTGACAATAAAAGAATGCAATTACTTTCCAAAATACCTAGAGAAGAATACTTAGTTACAGTGTATGACATTTAATTTAGTGAATACTCCTGCTTTGCTTTGCTTGGCAAGGAGGAAGAAGGCTCTCCAGATCTCTTGCTTATGGATATGTGAATCTTAAATTACCATTGCCCAAACCTTACTTTGCACTTTCACTTTAATGCCGTTAAAGGGCACCTTTGACCTCACACACTGCAATGTTAATCCTTTTTAGCTCAGGCAGTAAAAGAGGTAAGGATTAATCTCAAGAAGACAAATGGAAATTTCACTGGGGAAAACAATTAAGTGGCTGATATTTTCACAGACTATATTAACTTTTGATCATGGTAGTTTTCTTTAGGTCTCACTATACCAAGTCCATTCAGCATGAATTTTTCTTTTCTACAACTAAACATTCCTTATTCTTAAACCCATTCCCACACACTAATAACTGCACTGATAGCATACAAAAACTTTTAGATTCTTTTGTTTTAATGTTAAGATTAAATCTCTCAGACTAACTTAAAAATAATAACTATAATCTAGCAATTTCTCCAAGCTTTCCAAAAACAAACAACACTGGGGAAATTTATCATTATTGGAGACATGTAAGCAGAGTGGATTTCTACTTATTAGAAGTGCAGAAGACAGATCAACAGACCATACTAAGTGCTGATAGTCTTTGGTTACACAAATTTGCTATTTTAGCAACTTAAATGAGGCAACTTCTCTTGTTGAGAAAACATTTCACTGCAAAGGGAGAACTAGTTAGCTTGGCATGTCTCAGCAAGTAAATCATTATAGTTGGACAACCTCTTCTATATTATAAATGCCAGGAAAATATCCTGCCTCAAATTCTAATCTCCATGCTAAGACTGAGGTTACTAGAAATTTATGCATCAAACACCCGATACATACATCTCTAAGTTGGTTAAGAACAAAGATCCTTTCTGAGGCTGTCACCATGGGGTGATAGGACATCTCAAAGAAGATAATTCCCAGGCTGAAGAGATCCACTTTCTGAGGGGAAAAAAGAATTGTATTTAGAGATACTTTATATGAAAGTATAATTTACCAGAGAATTATAGAATCAGCACTGTTAGCTGAAATAAAGTTTGTGTAAGTGCAAAACAAGTCACACTGGAAAAATTTGACTATTTTTTCTAAACCATTACAGGTATAAAGATTATTTGGTTCACAGTAAAATATTTGGCATAATTTTGCTCAATATTTTTTTTGAAAAGTAACTGTAATCAGTTTATCTATACACATAGATAATGCCTGGCTAAAGACTGAAAATAACGGCTAAAGGGAAAGAACAACCAAGACTTGCCATAATATGCTTTGGCTGGGAATATAGCTCAGAATATTTGCCTTACATGCTCCTTGTCCTGGATTCAATCCCCAGCACTGTCACATAAAAAAGAAATCTGCTTTATTTTGCATCTTCACGAATCATTTCAAAAGTGAAACAGACCAAAATCTGCTGCTGATAGTAAAGGTCAGCTATTGACTACAAAGCCATACCAGTGAGGATAGAAGAAAGGTACAACTGAAAGATCATGTGACTAATCCCAGCAAAATATGGAAATACAATTAAAGAGGAAAAATAAATTAAAAGGCAACCTGTAGAATGGGGAAAATGTTTGCAAAACATACACCTGATAAGAGGCTAATATGAAAAAAATGTAAGGATCTCATACAACTCAGCAAAGGAAAATGTTCACATTTTTTTTCTGAGCAGAAAATTTCCCAAAGAAGATGTACAAATGGCCAACAGATATATAAAAAGATACACATCACCACTAATCACCAGGGAAATACAAATTAAAACCATAATGAGGTATTACCTCACACTTATTAGGATGGCTATTATAAAAAGTTGAGGGCTGAGGTTGTGGCTGAGTGGTAGAGTGCCTGCCTAGCACATGTGAGGCACTGGGTTCAATCCTCAGCACCACATAAAAATAACTAAAATAAAGGTATTGTGTCAGTCTACAACAATAACAACAACAACAACATCAAAAACCAAAAAACAAAAAACCCCCAAAACAAAAAGTTGAAAGATAATAAACGTGAGGATGTGGAGAAAAGGGAGCTCTTGTGTACTGTTGCTGGGAATGTAAATTGATACAGCTGATATGGAAAACAGGATGAAGGCTCTTCAAAACATTAAAAAGAGAACTACCATGTGATACAGCAATACCACTTCTGGTATATACCCAAAGGAAAGAATATCACTGTCTCAGAGATATCTGCATGCTTATGTGCATTGCAGCATCATTCATAACAGTCGAGTTGGTATCAGTATGTCAGTGGACAGATGAATGAACAAAGAAAATGTGGTCTCTCTCTCTCTCTCTACACACACACAGAGAGAGAGAGAGAGAGAGAGAGAGAGAGAGAGAGAGAGAGAGAGAAAGAGAGAGGGGGGAGGGAGGGAGAGAAAGAGAAATAACAGAATTTTATAAAGCTTTAAAAAGAAGGAAATCCTGTCATTTGGGATAACATGGATGAACCTGGAGGACATTATATTAAGTAAAATAAGCCAAACAGAAAGATAAATACTGAAAGATCTCACTTTTATGTGGAAACTGAATTAAAAATCCAACTTACAGTAACAAGGTAGAATAGTAGTTTACCAGGGGCTATGGATTGGGGGAAAAGGGAGATGTTGATTAAAGGGTACAAGCTTGCACTTATAAGATGAATAAATTCTTATAATGAGCTCTAACATACAGCATGGTGACTATAATGTATTGTATTTTTGAAATTTGCTGAGAGTAGATCTCAAGTGTTCTCACCACCTCCACACACACACACACACACACACACACACATATACACAAAACAGTTAACTGGGTGAGGAGATGGATGTTTAGCTTGATTGTGGTAATAATTTCACAATGTATATGAATATTAAAACATCACACACTGCTGAAAGCGGTGGTGCATGCCTGTAAACCCACCACCTCAAGAGGCTGAGGATGAGGATCATGATGAGTTCAAAGCCAGCCTCAGCAATTGCAAAGCATTAAGCAACTCAGTAGGACCCTGTATCTAAATAAAATACAAAATAGGGCCGGGATGTGGCTTAGGGATTGAGTGCTCCTGAGTTCAATCCCTGGGGGGGAAAAAAATCACACCATACACTTTACATATTTGCTTATTTTTTTTAACATATTTTTTTAGTTGGAGGTGGACACACAATATTTTTATTTATTTGTATGTGGTGCTGAGGATTGAACCCAGTGCCTTACACATGCCAGGCAAGTGTGCTACCACTGAGCTACAGCCCCAGCTCCACACTGTATACTTTAAATATACATAATTTTATTTATTATTCATACCTCAATAAATTGGGAAATAACAACAACATAGACAACAAAAGGCCAGAGAAAGAAAATAGAGTGAACCCAAAGACACTAAAGAGATAAAACTCAAGATAATTATTAAATAATGAATACAAAAAGACAAAAAATAAATGGCAATAATAAAAAGGAGAAGAAGAAAAAAAAAAAGCAAAAGGGTAAGTTAGTGTACTAAAAATCTATGCAGGGCCTAAGAAGCACAACTGAGTGGGATGGTGTGTCCCTCAGGAAGCCAGCCATAATCAGCTTGCAAAGACTACTCCTTATCAGGTGCCAGGAGAGACAGAGCCCACTCTCAAAAAATCCTCTTAAATGAATGTGGATTCAAAGAGGAGTAGGAGGCCAAGCAGGATGGTGCTTGCCTCTAATCTCAGTGACTAAGGAGGCTGAGTATTACTAGTTTCAGGCCAGCCTTAGCTCCTCAGCAAGACCCTGTCTCAAAATAAAAAATAATTACAAGGGCTAGAGATGTGGCGCAGTGGTTAAAAACCCTTGGACTAGGTCTCCAGTACCAAAAGAGGGAAAGGAAAAAAAGAGTAGGAGGACCTCCTGACTTATCCCCAGTCATGTTCAAAGTCTTAAATACAAATATCCATTTGTCATTTCCTACATGTCTGGCTGGAAAATGCCAAGGGTAAAACAGTGATCTCCGTAAATCCCACTTTTTGTTTTTAAATATTCATACATGTACATACTATAAAACCAGAACCACATTACTGTTTCTTTTATTCACTTAATAGAGTGAGAATATTTTTAATATTATTACCACTTTTCTAAAATGGGTTTCTAAAATGTGATGTTAATGTCATGAAGTATTCAATTACATGAAGTCTTATAGTTAATGAAATAGATCCCAATTTTCAGACACTGTTATTTTTTTATTATATGAAACAACACTGTGATGAACCACTTTCATATTACCCTTCCCTAGTTGTTTCCTTTAGATGAATCTAAAGGTAGAATTGACAGGCCAAAGGACAAAGTACTTTTGAAGATTTCATAAAAATCTTCCACTTACCTCAGAAAAATGACCCTAAGGTACCCATGGTGTGTACCCTCCTACTCCCCTCTTCTCTCTGGTAACAGACCTCCCTCTGTGGTCTGTTTCAACTCTGCATTGCTGCTCAATGCTTCCGTCAGCATAAAACCCAGGCTTGAGTTTCCAATGCAATCCTGACGATTTGCTTTTATATACATTGCCTGGCTGATGTATTTTTAAAATTTTGCATTTATACTTTAGCCCTGGGTGATCTCAGTCTCATGGCTTTAAATCCCATCTATGTTCTGACAATCCTTAAATTTATACCTTTGACTTTGATCTTCTCTCTGAACTCAAATCTTGGGTCTCTAATAACCTCTGTCCATCTAAATTAGATTCCTCATCAGGCATTTCTAACTTACATACCTCATACTAAAATTTTCTACCATCTTCTTCCCCTTCCCTATCTCTTTGCCCACATTTCCTCACTTTAGTCAACTATCCTTTCACCCAGGTTCTCCAGGCAGAAAACCTGAACCTCAACTTTTTCCCCTTCAAACATCTAGTCCATTAGGAAAATCTCTCATTTCCCCTCTATTGTAGCACAACTTTCTCCATTTCTATTGCTACCACTTCAGTGACAGTCACCAGTTCTCCCCCTGGACTTCTGCAGAGTGTCTAGCACAGCTGGAGCAAACTTTCTGCTTGTGATTCTTCAGTGGCTTCCTGTGCACTTCAAATAAATTCCATAATCTTAAATGTCATCCTTTTAGGGAGGCCTTCTCTGATCAATTTATTTAGAGAAGATGCTCCCTAAAGACAAGATGTTGACTTATAACTTGACTCTTATTTTTGCTTCGGTGCAAAAATAGCCCTTATTATAATTCGTGATTATTCCTTTTTTATATGTTTATTGTCTGTTTTAGTCACCACTGGATAAACTCCCGGAGGACTGGGGCCACTGTATTCTTAGGACAGGGGTTAGCTCAGTTTCTTTGGATGGATGGATGGACTACACGCTCCTGGCATTAACAGTGCCTGCTTTAGTCCATGCCCTCAGTAACCACATGTCCTACCTGGAGCATGAATTGGCTCCTATTTCAGCTGGTAATTAATGCTGTGATTTTTATGTTCTTACTATTATTTCTCTCTTGAGAACTTTCCCTTTCCTAAAAGCTCTGTACCTGGTTGTATGCAGACTTGGTACTTCCTTGGACCTCTGGGCTTACGTACAAAGCAGTGCCAACCATCCCAGTCAAACGGCCTGTGTGGAGGAAACCAGAGGGAAAGCTTTCCAGTATTTGGACTTAAAGATACAGCAAATTATTAAAAAAATAAAAAAGAAAGAAAGAGAAAAAGAAAGAATATTTCTTATGAGTGGGGCCTGATCTATTAAACGTCTGCAGCACTTAAAGGAGAAAGCAGTGTGAATTGCACAGTAAGCATAGTTACGTATGTCCAAACACCCTGTCTTTGCTGTTGTCAAGGAGGGACTGGGCAGAGAGAAGACCCTAGACCAACCAGGCCCCAGAGAATTTCACATGACCACTAGTGTCGGACAAAGAGCTGTTTGCATGTGGGAGCCAATTATTCTATTAACTGAAGTCCTTAAAGTGCTGAAAAACAATTAACACAGTGACAAGGAAAAAAATTAAGGCATTTTCATAATTTTGTTAATTTAGTGAGCAATTAAAATTTGCTTTAGAATAGAGTCTTTACAAGTAAACCTGAGTAAAGACTCAGGTTAAAGAAATGTTGTGGTCTGCTTTTAAATACATGAATAAAAAATTCAGTCTTCTGGATTTACCTGAAGGGTCTGATTTTATCAAGTGATCTCCTGCTTGATCATCTTGTTTCCCATCAGCCTAAAAACAAAAGTAAGCCAATTAGCAAATTCAAATGTTATAGCAATAGGAGTAGCTTGTCCATTTCTAAATGAAGATACATTGAAAAAATATTACATGAAAATCAGAATAATTATAATAATGCTTTTATGAGTTTAAATGTTTTGTTTTAGTTATTTACTAGGAAGAGTAAGAGAACAACAAGCTGGGTAAGGAGGTGGATGCCAGTAGTAATCCCAGCTACTCAGGATGCTGATACAAGAGGATCGAAAGAAAGTTCCAGGCCAGCCTTAGCAACTTAGTGAGACCCTGTCTAAAAACAAAAAGGGCCTGGGATGTAGCTCAGTAGCAGAGTACCACTGGGCTCAATTCCTAGTACTACAAAACAAAACATCTACTTTCTAAACTTTCCCAACTTTCCCAACTTTCTAAACTTTTTCAGAATCAGTTTTTGACTCTTCATTGCACCAGGTCACCAAATCTGTTTCACTGTCACTCACTGCTAACATCTCTAAATGGCTTCACCTTTTATATATCTCTGAAGCGCTGTCTCATGCAACACTTTAATCACTACTGTTATGACATCCGTCTGCTGGTTCCTATTACAAGCATGGCTATCAATAACAGCTTCTTCACCATTCTTAGTGCCAGACCATGTTCCAGGCGCTTTACCTGTATTCTGATTTTATTTTGCTGAAAATTCTTTGAGGCAGGAACTAGTATTAGGTGCACTATGAGGTTCTGAGAGGCTTAAAATTTGCCCAAGGTTGTACCCAAAGCAGTGGCAACAATAGGATTCTAGTCCAGGTCAGCGAGACTGCAGAGCCTCTGGTCATCTACCTCCCTACACCTCCAGAAGTTGAGGTATAATCTTTAGTTTGGGATCAAGATCCCATCATCTGCCCCTCCTTGGCCTTAGCATTTTTCAACACCTGCCCTTCCCTGTTCTACTATCTGTCTTCCGTCTTTCCCCTCCCTCTCCTCCTTCTTGTAGTATAGGGTATTGAACCTAGGCTTCCTGAATGCTAGGCAAGTACTCTATCACTGAGCTACATCCACAGTCCTTCGTATTTTTTATTTTGAGACAAGGTCTCCCTAAGTTGCGCTCAGGCTGTCCTGGAACTTCCTATCTTCCTGCCTCAACTTCCTGAGTCACAGGCACCACTGCACCTGGCTCTCTCCATTTCTTCTAACCTTACCTTCTTATTTAGCCCCTGTGATTGTTTTTACCATCAATCCAAATCCTATTTTCTTTCTCCAACTACCCTTGGAATGAACTGCATTTTTAGAGATTTTGGTTCCTCTTATGTTGGCTATGACATAGCCCCCCAAAACTCCAGAAGGCAAAATGATTAATTATGAGAACCATAACTTAATCAGTGGATTAATCAATTTCATGGATTAATAATTTGAATGGACTAATTGTGGGCAGGTAGGGTGTGGCTGGAGGAAGTAGGTAACTGGGAGATATGTCCCTTGGGATTTATAATTTGTCCCAAGTGTCTTGCTTGCTCTCTTCCACTCCCTATTTGTCATGGGCTGAGCAGCATTCTTCCACTATGCCCTTCTGCCAGGATCTTCTGTCTAAATTCAGGTCCAGAGAAGTGGAAACCAGCCAACCATGAACTAAACATCTGAAATCATAAGTCCAAAAAACCTTTTCCTCCTCTAAGTAGTTCTTGTCATTTATTTTGGTCATAGTGATAAAAAGGTGACTAACACAGTGCCTAATACCTTTGGCTAATGATGTTAAGTAAAACTCTGGCACTGAAGGCCAGAGAACCTTCTAGCATTTTTTCTTACTCTCTACTACACCTTACACTTTGAGCCAATCAGAACATGTGGTCTTCAAACAATCACATCTGCTCACCCACAGCTTTGGTTATGATGAAATACCCTGTCCTGATGTGACTAGGCCCTGTCTTCAACTTGGTCTGCTGGACTCCTAAGTTGAATGTTGTTGTATAGTCTTTCTTTCTTTTGGGGTGGGTGGGTGGTTACAGGGTCTTACTAGGTTGCCCAGGCTGGTCTTGAACTCCTGAGCTCAAGCAATCCTCTCACCTTAGCCACTAGAGCAGCTGGGACTAAAGGTACACACTATTGCACTCTATCTAGACAGTCTATCTTTTTCCTGAGCCACAACCCAGCCCTATTTTATATTTTACTTAGAGACAGGGGCTCACTAAGTTGCTTAGTGCCTTGCTTTTGCTGAGGCTAGCTTTGAAATTGTGATCCTCCTGCCTCAACCTCACGAGCTGCTAGGATTACAGGTGTGTACCAGCAAGCCGAGCTAACAGTCTTTCTTGATTCTCACAAATCTATGTTAATTTCCCCCTATCTTTTACTCTTATATCAGTACTTTGCTCACCTCACATTAATTAGCTTTGTATTTTAAGTCACTACAATGTTGTGAAGAACAAATATCTTTTGAGTTATATGTTGTTTAGGGCTGGGTTATCCCAGTGTTTAATGTTTTTGAGCCTCACTTTCCCAAGCTAAAGACTTAAGTATAAAGCATGGCAGACCAAAATACCAAATTATTTCATAAAGTACTGTATGCCTTTAACCTAAATATCATTCACAGCCAATAATTTTGTATCCCTCAAGTGGAAGGCACTTATTAAAACATAATTACAATTTCAAAGCCTACAAGATCACTTGCAGTATATGCCTTCATAGTTGCATGGCAGGGTTCAGGCAACCTGATAACCTGTTGTTATCAAGGAACCTGGGTCTACTTTCAAGTATAGTCTAATTATTAAAATACTCACAGCAAAGGCTAGATGATCTGTTGCCAAGCCAAAATCACCTATTTTTACATGGTCATCAGAATCCAAAAATATGTTGACAGGCTTCAAATCCCGGTGTATCATTCCCTGTATTAAGAAAGTCAAGAATCTAATGATTGCTTCACTTGCATAGTTTATACTTATACCTGTTTTCTAATCTGAAAGGCCAGCCTAGTGATGCAAACTGGGTTAGGTCTTCTCTCAGACCACCATAGTCCAGGAATCTGGTCTCTGGAATGTCTCCCAATTGTCTGGTAATCTCTCCAAAATCTCCCTCTTTCATCTGTGGTTGTCCTGATCAAGTGAAATCCAAATGGCTCCCTGTGGCACCCAAGGTTCCTTCCACTGAGTTCATCAAATTATCTTTCCCTCTGCTGCATCACAAAACCCTGGTTCTGGTCAGTGAGACATACCACTTTTATTCCTTTTCTATTCCTTTCTTTGTATTATTTCCCCTGCCCAGGACATTATTGCTTTTCTCTACTCATTCAAATTTTTTTATTTGTTCTAATTAGTTATACATGACAATAGAATGCACTTTGATACATCATACATAGATGGAGTATAATTTCTCATTCTTCTGGTTGTACATGATTTAGAATCCCACTGGTCATATAGTTTATATATGTATATAGGGTAATAATGTCTGATTTATTCTACTATCTTTCCTACTCCCATATCCCCTTCTCTCCCTTCACTCCCCTCTACCTAATCTAAAGTAACTCTATTCTTCCCTAGCTGCCCTCACCTTCATTGTGAATTAGCATCCTCATATCAGAGAAAACATTCAGCCTTTGTTTTTTGGGATTGGCTTATTTCTCTTAGCATGATTTTTTCCAGCTCCATTCATTAATAGCAAATGCCATAATTTCGAATTTTACCAACATTTACAAGTGCTAATTCATTCATTCTTCCATGGTAATTCTAACAATTCACTTTGCATCCCCAGTACACACAGTAGATACTCAGTGATTACGTTAAATGAATCCTGCTTTCTCCTCTTCCTAATGGCTTATCATAATACTTATAGTTTCATGTCCTATAATACAAAAAATAATTAATGGACTTCATTAGAACTCATTTTTATTTCCAAACTTAGAAATTTCTGCTTCCAACAAATTATTTATAAATTAGTCGTATAAATTACAGGCCTGGCTTCTTCGCATAGTAAAAACATTTTGAGTTCATGAAAATTGAGGCAAAGAAAAAAAATTAATATATTTACACTAGCTAATACATTAGACAATCCCATTTAAAAAATGTAAGCAGTGGGGCTGGGACTGGGGCTCAGCGGTAGCACTTGCCTGGCATGTATGAGGCACTGGGTTTGATTCTTAGCACCACATAAAATTAATAAAATAAAGGTCTATCCCACTTAAAAAAAAAAATTAAAAAAAATGCAATATTTCAGTTTGAAGCTAGGCCCTTTAGCATTTACATCATAATAGCAATTTCTAGCTTTAAAATAACATTTTATACACATAGCAAGCTATGTTACTAAAAGACTCTTATTCTTCTCCTTGCCAGATGTTTTTCTAGTTTCTTTTTATTTCCAGAAAGGGCAGCACTAATTGTTAGGATCAAATTTGGTATGTATCAACCACACTGGTATTTTATTCTAAACCAATCAAGGAATTATCTTCTATATTCCATATATGATCAAATATTTTTTCCTCATTCAGCAGTTTGGCAAACTTTCTATAAAGGACCAGGTAATAAGTTATAGGCATTTCAAGCTGTATAATCTTTGTTGTAACTACTCAAATCTGCTGTTACAGCAGAACAGTCACAGGCAATATGTAAGCAAATGAGCCTGGCTTTGTTCCAATGAAACTTCATTGATGGACAATGAAATTTGAATTCTGTTATGAAATATTATAATTTTGATTTTTAAATAACTACCTAAAGATACAAAAGCCAGTTTTAGGTTACAGAACTAAGAAAAAGAGGTATTAAGAGAGTCATAGTGTGCTAATCCCTGTCCTAACCTTCAATGTTTTCTTTGAACTTTGATACCTGGCACTATTTCTTTAGCTTTTGATACTTTGTCCTACGAAACAATATACAAAGTTTTCTATATTTTTCTCCATTTTCACCTTTGAATTTTTAAATTTAGTCATAAATTTATGTAAATGTCAGTTTTGGACACAAAATATTGTAAAGTTTACTTTCTCATGGATATAAGCCAATCCATCCAGAATCTCTCGAAAAAGTCTCCACAATCTGATGGTGTCTCGATACAACCCCTGGTCAATGGTGTCACGTAAAGTACTCTTTTCACAGTACTCCATCTGCAGACAAGAACAGACCAGGAAGGACTTGGTTGCAAAGTATAAATTAAGGAGGTTAACTGCAATTAATGTAATCATCTATTTAAAAATTTGTGATATGGATTCTAAACAGTTATAGGAAAGACGTGATTTTTTTACACTGAAAAGAAGTATTTAAAAAAAAATACTTCAAAAAATATTTTGGGGTGTAAAAATGTAGCTCAGTGGTAGAGTGCATTTTTAGCAGGCACTAGGCCCTGGGTTCCATCTCCAGCACACACAAAAATGGTAAGCAAGCAAACAAAAACAACACTGGGAGCAAATATGTATAATCTTAGCACCCCAAAATAATCATTAAAAATTTAATTTTTTTTCTGTGTTGAGGAGTAAACCCTTGCATGTGCTAGGTGAGTGCTTTACTACTAAGCTTCCATTCCTACTCATATTTATTTTTTATATAATTGGTTATTTTAAAAAAGATTTATTTGCTTAAATTCTTATTACAAATAATATGAAAATTCAGAGTGCAGTAAAATTTTATTTATTGTCTTATAAACTGCAAACTCAAATTTCCAAGAAGGGCTAATTAATCCAATGATGTCATTAGTTTTTATTTGTACATTATGACCTTCAAGTCAAGAGCAAAACATTATAAATATGTCACAGAATATTATTTCCCTTTTGATTTTTTAAAATAACCACTCAAAAACATAAAAGCCATTCTTGGCTTACAAGCCAAACAAAAACAGACATAAGTTGGATTAGACTTGTGGGTCACAAGGCCTCACCTGTATATACAGATAGTGCACAGCTTCAGTTGTCACCGATGGCTCACTTTCATGGCAACTGTTAATTTCATTGTAGTCCTCATCCTAACCCAAGAGGAACATATGAGAACTCAAACTGGGGGCTGAAGTTAAACAGGACCATCACACCATCAAATACCTCCCCTCTCCCCCCAAGCTATCCTGGTACTCTAGGAGGAAGTCAGTGATAGAACTCATCCAACGCCTATAGAAGCTTAATGTGGTTTTAAAGAAAGTTTGCTATAACCAGAATCTTCTATGTAGCTCGTAAGTCTGTTGCTACACAGAATGATGATGGGGAAAAGGAAATCAGGAGGTTTTAAAGTTGTGCAATCCATAGAACGATTCCTTGTCAAGTTAATTCTTCACTATTGATGACCTAAGGATGAGAAAGGTAGAATGTATATATGCTATTATTTTAGGGCTTCAGTGCTAATGTAATGCCTTCCTTTGGTGGGAATTAGCTAAAGCAATTTAAATGTGACCAGACTATTAAAGAGAATACTGCCCTCTGATCTATGCCCTCAAAGAACAAGCACTCAGCTGCCACTTACAACAAATGATCCTCTTGTCTTACCTCCACAGGGCCAACCTACTGCTAATTTTCTTTTTAATACCTTTTTTAAAAAAAGTATTTTTCTTCTCATAGATGTATTTAAATACTTTAAACCCTAAGTATAAAAAAGGGGCTAGTCACCATCTGACCATTCAATTTACATTTTTTATGAGGAAGGAATTTTCAATATATATATATATATATATATATATATATTTGTACTAAGAACTAAACTCAGGGGCACTCTACTGAGCCACATCCCCAGCCCTATTTTGTATTTTATTTTGAGACAGGGTCTCACTGAACTTAGTTCCTCACTGTTGCTAAGGCTGGCTTTGAACTTGTGATCCTCCTGTCTCAGCCTCCCAAGCTGCTGGGATTACAGGTGTGTGCCACTGCGCCTGGCATTTTTTCCATTATTGAAAGGGAAAAAAAAGAGCTCTGCTTGCTCTGGAAATATACTATACTCTGGGGGATTATCTATAGAAGAATATTAATCTCTTGGCAGCTCCAACCCATCAGTTAGAATGCTCATGTCATGTTGCTCATAACCAAGAAAAATCAGGAGCATAAATTTGGGGTCCCCCTAAATCTGTGCTAAGAGATGAGATGACTCAGGATATGATGAGAAGGTTGTGACCTTGAGTCAGGTGGCTTCCGGGAAGGGAAGGAGGGGAGGGCAAAGTACGGGTCCTGGGGATAAAAAAGGCTTTAGACACCATCTGACCATTCAATTTACATTTTTTATGAGGAAGGATTTATATATATATATATATTTTGTACCAGGGTTTGAACTCAGGGGAACTCCACTGAGCCACATCTCCAGCCCTATTTTGTATTTTATTTTGAGATAGGATTTCACTGAATTTAGCTCCTCACCGTTGCTAAGGATTCAATTGTGTGGCCAATGATTTAGTCAATTCTAACTACCTGATGGAATTTCAATAAGATATCTGGACATGGAGGCTTCGTGGGGCTTCCAGGTTGAGCACATGGCCGGGTGGGAGGATGAGGGGCTCTGATTCCATGAGGACATAAAATATATTAAGATATATTTTAAATGAATATGGCAGGGAAGCTTTGCATTTGAGATGCTCCCAAACTTTACCTTGTGTCTGGTTCTGATTTGTGTCTTTTATGATAAAATTGTAATAATAAATGTAAAAAAAAAAATTGTTGTCTTCATAATAATTAAATGCATACCACTAAAACCAAAACCAAACAACTTTGTTTTGGCAGTAGGTTAGATTACATATGCTCTTTTTAAATTTTTTTTTTTTTTAGTTATAGTTGGACATAATACCTTTATTTTATTTATTTATTTTTATGTGGTGCTGAGGATCCAACCCAGGGCCTTGCAAGTGCTAGGTGAGTACTCTACCCTGAGCCACACCCCAGTCCTTGTTTATGCTCTTACCCTGATTAAATTTATAGTAAATAATTTAAATTGAGAGGAACTTAAGGTGATTTTACTTGATAAGGGAAGTACTTACAAAAAGCACAATAACTAATTCATTCAAACAAGCTCCAAGTCAACTTAACTGCTTATCTAAGAGAGTTCACATGTATACTTTTATCTGCTATGAATACACACTTAGAAAGCTTGACCCAAGTCCTAGGCACCACTATAGAAGGCTCTGCTGGCCTGGGCAGAGGAAGATGCAGAACTATGGGTCGGGTCCAAGGCCTGCAGCAATGTTTTTCAAACTTTCAAAACCATGAATCACATGAAGAAATGTTTTATGTCACACCCAGTACACATACTTATGAGACAAGTCCAGAAATGAAGTTTACTTTAAGTGTGCAGCTTTGTGTTCTCTATAGTATTAAAAATAAAATGTCTGGTTATAATATTCTAAATTGATATTATAACTCACTACAGGGTCATTACAGACTTAAAACTAGAGGATAGTTTATGAAAATAAGAAATTAAGAGTAATTGACAAGGGAGAGATCAAGGTAATTCCATGATGAGACTGTTTAGTTAATTAATTTATATTCAATTCTCATCCCCAATCATATAAAATTTTCTCAAACCCTCTAGGAAACTTTTAAAATTTTTATTTGTTAGAGGTAGTGTCTTGATTTACTTCTCAATACTAAAGATCAGTATGCTCTGTTATATATAGACTTACGAAAAACACAAGTAAAACATTTTAAATGAATGATCATGTTTTAAAATTGGTATTTACATATCAGATTAAGGCTTTAGTATTTTACCCAAGGTTTATAACATCAGATAATAGTTTCCTTACATACCTACTCTGATGAATAAAATAGTATAATTTTTATATATTTACCTGATTCTGACTTTTACTGTTCTCATCTTCATGGTCAAAGATGATATCACTTTCAGAATCTGATGCAGGTCTTAAAAAGAAACAGAAAAGTGCTAAAGAAATCAAAATCCCTGTAATAATTCTAAAAATTGACATTCAAATTAATAGAAAGCAAAAGAGGCTAGAGACATTATATTATGACTCCATGGCATAAATCTGTACATATCACCATGTGGATTTGTACTTCCCTATTATGCAAAACATATATAACTCTTGAAAATTAGCGAAATTAAGTCTCTTAAAACAAATATCATAGCTAAGAGTTATGATAAATTGTACCCAACTGGATGTGATGAAATAAAACCATGAAGGTAAATGGCCAGGATTCTGAGATGAATAAAGTTTAGTGTAGGGTTATAATTATTCATTTGGTACTTTCTTGGGAACTGCAGTTGGTATTGTATTAAGACTTCAAATTAGTTCTGTGTGTGTGTGTGTGTGTGTTACTGTACATTGAACACAGGACTTCCCTGTACTAGATAGGTTCTCTACCAATGACCTTCATCCTCAGCCCTAATATTTTTATTTGTGAGACAGGTTCTGGCTAAGTTGTCCAGGCTGGCCTGGAACTTGTGATCCACCTGTCTCATCTAACTGAATAGCTGGGATTACAGGCCTGCACCACTATGCCGATTCCAAATTAGTTCTTAAATGCTCCATGGAGTTGAATGCCTATTTAAAGCAATGCCCTTTAAGAAATTTTCTTAAATGTTTTAAATGCTACAAGTAATTTCTGTTTTCCTTTCTCCAGTGCTTAGATTTTGGAGATCTTCTGAAGATAGTGGAAAAAAATTCCTTTGGATTGCATTTGACGTACTGGGTCCATTTCTTAACATTGTCAATATTTCCAGTTTTCTAAATTATTGCCCTTTCCCCTGGCATGGGCTTGGTGGGGACTAATGACGGGGGCACATCCACGCTGCCTGGCTGGTGCCCACGCCTGTGCATGTAAGCCCTGTGCTCCTTACAGGAAGGACTGTGAGAAGACACCATCATGTTCATCCTCATCATCATCCTCATCACTGCTGGAGCCTGGGCCAGCTACAGGGAAGCGGGCGTTGGATGAGCGCTCAGCTGATGTGCTCCACTCCACTGAGCTGGTGAGGATGGGAGGTGGCGCGGCAGCCTCCAAGCTGTCCAGCTTGTTGGTGTCACTTTCTGGCTGCCCATGTGCAGCTTGTCCATCCTGGGCCAAGGGTCTTGAGTCTGGAGGTGGTGTCCCTGGGCCCGCTGGTCGCTCATGCCGCTCAATCCAGGCATTGTAGTAGCGCACGATGTTCTCATGGTGCAAGCGCGACAGCAGTGTCACCTCGCCCTTGATCCTGCGGAAGTGCCTACTGGCTGGGTTGATGGGGATGCGCTTCACAGCGTAGCAGCAGCCATCCAGCTTGTTTTGGACCTACCATACAGCAAGGGGAAGAGACCCAGGTAAGGCCCATAACCTTGCTCAAACTGGCATTTAGCTGGCATGGCCCCATTCCCTCCTGAAGAGAAACCGGAGTTCTGAGAACCAACAGCTACAGTCAAGAACTACAAGGTTGAAACTCTTATACTACTGAAAGTTTTTACACTCAAATTTAGTAACAGCTTACATAGATCAGAATGTACCAAATGTGCTAAAAGATCCTGGGTAAAATGTAGCTTTCATTCACATCATTAATTTTACTGACAATTAGTTCCCTGTTCTTCTAATGTCTTATCTACTATTTAAATTTTAAATAAATTTTGGTTTTAAAATAAAAATTATTTTCTAAAGCCAGTGTAAGTTCAGATGATGATTTTAGTTTCTGCTCTTTTTATATTTAAAGCACTCAAAACAAAGTAAACTCCAGAAATTTTAACAGACTAAAAAGCAAATGGCTAATTCTTAATTTTATAAAGCTGTCGATTTGGGCAAGTTACTTTTTTCCTTAAGACTCAATTTTCTTACTTACAAAATAGTATTTTTGTTATCAGGAAGTACCAGCACTGCCAAGGAGAAAGAGGCTAGGTGTTATGGTTTTGATTTGAGGTGTCCTCCCAAAAAGCTTATGTGACAATGCAGGAATGAACAAAGGTGAAAGGATCAGATTATGAGAGTTATAACCTAATCAGTGGATTAATCCATTTGATGGATTAATAATTTCAAAGTTTGCCTGAAGTTATACATATCTACTAAGAGATGAAACCAAGTAGGAAGAAAAGAGAGAAAGAGAGAGAGAGAGAGAGAGAGAGAAGCCAGGGGACAAGATATATAATCCCCAAGGGCTTCCAACAGCTGTTATCAGGTTACTGCTGTATTGAGTAGAAATTATAGGAAGGTAGGGTATGGCTGACAGAAGGAGATTACTGAAGGCATGCCCTCAGGGATTATATATTTTGTCTCCTGGCTTCTCTCTTTCTCTCTGCTTCCTGCCAGGTTTCATTTCTTAGTAGATATGTATAACCTCAGGCAAATTATGTAACTTCTCTGAGCCTCAATTCCCTCAACTGGAAATGGAGATTACATCTATCCCATAAGAATGTCTTGTGAGGGCTGGGATTGTGGCTCAGAGGAAGAGTGCTTGCCTCCAATGCGTGAGGCACTGGGTTCAATCCTTAGCACCACATAAAAATAAAATAAAGAGATTGTGTCCACCTATAACTAAAAAATAAATGTTTAAAAAAAAAAAGAATGTCTTGTGATCAAAAGATGAGGTCTGTAGAGCCACCTGGAACACAACCTGAAATATGGAATGTGCTCTGAAAAATAATAGTCCTGTGTTCCCTGGCTGCCACATTAATAGAGAATGTCGTGGTGCTTTCAATCTTATGTCTTCATATACACCAAGTATACTCTAAGTCACTGACTTAGGTGTGGAGCTTGCTGGAAATTTTCATAGAGGAGTTCATTTATTAAATTGAAAAGGTGTAGAAACAGTAAAGAATCCAAATGCTAACAAAATGCTAGATTACTGAGCAGACTCTCATACTCAGAGATAGAAATACAGAGGTGTGTGAGTTCTCCAAAGGAGAAACTGCAGGAAAAATGTGGGGCGAAAGGTATGAAGATTCTCTTGTTGTATGAGGTTACAAATATTTTTTAAGTACTTAAAAGGAAATGAACTTTGTTAATATTTTAATTCAATAATCTAAAAATATAAAGAAGCTGAAGTACTTGATCAAAAATGACAAACCATGATCTTTCTGATCAGGACACTTATCTTGTTTAATTAAGATTGTTTTTTTTACTGTAGGAAAATTCTTTTACTGTAAAAAAATTCTTTTTTTAGTGTAGAGGCCTTTTACAGTAAGAGTACTGCTTCTTCATAATATTCTGAAAATCCTAAACAAGACACATGATCCACTAATGGTGGGTCATCCTCATATGTGAAAGATGGCATGTGCTTTATATGTACTTTATAATACAATATTAATCTGTGTTTCCCAAAGTTTTTTAAAAAAACAACTCTTACATTATATAAAAATAACTAAAACCTCTTTCTATCAGGGGCAGATAATAAGTCACCCAAAGAGACTGAAATGAAGAAAGGAAGACCTAACACCAGCATACCTTAATAACATGTCACTAATTTTCCATCTCAATAAGAGCTGGGAAATAAAAGCCATCAAAGCCATCTGGGGCCATCTCCCAGCATGAATTCCATCTCTGTTCTAACTTTGGAATCCTTTTCTCTACAGCAACTCTAACAGCAAATGGGAGAAAAAGAGAACAATTTTCTTCCTGAACCAAAGCATACAAAAATGTTCTTTATCTAGAGGTCTTGGCTCCACTTGAAGCACTGTGTTTTTCACGTTAAGGCTCCGGCCAAGCAAGGACAGGAGAAAGAAGCACTCTTAATGTGCCTAGGGCAACTTTAGCTTCAGGAAGGTAAAGGTGATCACAGTTTCAAATAGTCCCATTCACTTCCCTCCCCAACCTCAAAATAGAAGTCAAGCCTGTAAGTCTGCAGAATGGAACAGAAGAAATTCTAAAAGGGACTGGGGCCAACTATGTGTCACACCTTGATGACTGCTCCAAAAGCTCCTTTGCCGAGAAGTTGTAATTCTTCAAACTCAATGAAATACCGGGAAAACTGTCTCTGTGTCTCACTGAAGAATGCAGCACTGGGAAGCTGGCTGCTAGGTATAACAGTCTCAACATAATCTTGTCCTCCAGAATCTAAGAAAAAAAATGATTGCATTAAAAATACAGGAAGAGCTAGAAAATCCAACAGGGATATTAGCACTGGCAAAAGGGGGTGTGTAAAAAAGTACCTCTTGCTTGAGTGGCCCTTGTATACTTTCCCTCATCTTGCCTTCCTTAAAATAGGTAGAAAAATATAATTAGCCCATTTTATGGGAGGGGATAAGTAGAGCAGAGAGTAAGTGATGGAACTACAGAGCCAGACCCCAACCCAGGTCTCCTAGCCTTGGCACTACCGAGGTTCTTTAATCTGCTACGTAAGTGTCAGCAAAAAATCCAGTTACACAGCAATAAGGGTAACAAAACAGGAAGGACGATTAAATACTCATAGAGGCTACACCAATGGACACTTTATCATAGGGACTGGAAAACTCAGGCTGAGAAAACAGTCCCATGCACACAGGGACTGCTTATTGCTGAACATAAATGTATGTGTAGCTCAGAATAAAACAGATAATCCATGCAGCCCCTTCCAGTTTTAGGTTTATGAATACTTTCAAAATAATTTAATGTTAAACAGGGTATCAAAGAAGGATGGCAAGAGACTCACCTTCGGGACTTTGTTCCACTAAAGGCATTTTTGGCTGAGGATTTATAAAGCCATGTTTCAACAGCTGCTGAGGGCTCCATCTTTCCTTGTCATCCAAGCAAACACACCTCAGTGACAGGGAAGGGAGAATCTCAGCAACACACAAAATAAACACTAACTTAGCTATGGGTTTATTTTTAAAAAATACACATTAGAGAATTCATGTTATTTATGGACCAAAATATACATATATGTGAATATAAATCAACAAATATCCCTACAGAATCTACATGTGAGTACTAGGCTACGTGCAAGTAGAGAATTTGAAAAACAAAAACAAAAACAAACAAACAAAAAACGTGCAGTTTCTTTAGAGGCATGGAACAAATCTTTTTAAATTTCAGATAGTAGTATAATATAAGTAGGCTAGGAATTTTCAATCCCATTAACAATTTAAAAACTTGCCATGCTTAATTAAGTCTTTCTAAAAATTAGTTATAAATAAATCTTTCTAAAGGCAAAGTAAATCAGCTGGGGTTGGGGACCAGTTTGATAAACTTCAGATGAAGCCTATACACATCAAGTGTGTTGGTAACAATTAGGAATACTTTAAAAATCCCATATCTCCCTCCCTCCCTCCTTCCCTTCTTTTCCTTCCTCCCTCCTGAATACCTTCCTTCTTTCCCAGTGCTGGAGACTGAACCCAGAGGCACTCTATCACTGAGCTATATTCCCAGCACAGCTGGCCACAAACTTGTGACCCTCCTGTCTCAGCCTCTCAAGTACCTTGATTATAGGCCTGTGCTACAGTCCATGCTTACCATATACTTTCTCTTAATCCTCAATCTTTAATATACTAACTCAGCATTTAATGTTCTAATAAATAAAAATAATTTTCTATTATTTTATTTTATTTTTATTTTTTTGTGGTGCTGGGGATTGAATCCAGGGCCTTGTACATGCGAGGCAAGCACTCTACCAACTGAGCTATATCCCCAGCCCACAAAAACAATTTTTTAAAAATTTTCCCTCCTAGATGCTTTAACTCAAGCTAAAACCTAAGAACCACTGTTCTCAGTAAGCTAAACTGTGGCATTTATAACAATGACTCTAGTGGTACCACTTGGTAGCACTTGGCCCTAATTATAAACAATACACTTAAGCCCAGAACTTGACTTAAAACCTATAAAGTGGTGACAACAACTATCATGAAGGACAACATTTTACTTTTTATGACACTGCACTAAAAAAACACTCAAGGTAGGAAAAGACCCGGAAAAGACAAGATTCCAGTAAAACAGTTTGTGTAAGATTCTTTATCTCCCCCTAAATTTAAAATTCATTTCAATTATATTAGTAAGCATAAATACCTTTCCCTTGCAAATATTAAAACATGATTGATAATGATAGTCTTTGACCAAATCCTTCCTCTCTCCAGGTCTTCCCTCCTCTGACTGTACATCCTTAGACTCTTTTATGCATTTATATAAATAAACACACAACCACCCAAAATAATACTGTATTTTAAAAAATTACATTTAATTAACTATTTTTGGTAGTATTAGGGATTGAACCTGGCCAGGGTCACTCTACCACTGAGATACATCCCCAGCCCTTTTAATTTTACTTTGAGACAGGGTCTCACTAAGTTACCCAGGCAAGCCTCCATCTGGTGATCCTCCTTCCTCAGCCTCCCAAGAAACTGAGATTACAGGTGTGTTCTACTGTGCCCAGCTAATGTATTGATATTTTGGGGCAGCATCATCCTGTACATATTATTCTTTAACTTGCTTTTCTGTGTGTGTGTGTGTGTGTGTGTGTGTGTGTGTATAAAATATATATGACAGCGGAATGCATTACAATTCTTATTACATATATACAGCACAATTTTTCATATCTCTGGTTGTATACATAGTATATTCACACCAATTTGTGTCTTCATACCTGTACTTTGTAAAAAATTTAAAGCCTGCCCAGAATAAATTGTATTCTTATAAATAAATGAGATTTTATACCATCAAGATCCCACTTAAAACAATGAAATTCTCTAAACCAATCATTTGGGCAACATAGTAGCCATAAGTGAAAAAGGCAAATGCTAGGTCTGACTTTGAACAAAAAACCTGTACTTTGGATAATAATGGTTCTCACATTCCACCATCATTAATTACCCCATTCCCCCTCCCTTCCCCTCCAACCCCCCTGCCCTATCTAGAGTTCGTCTATTCCTCCCATGCTCCCTCTCCCTATCCCACTATGAATCAGCCTCCTTACATAAAAGAAAACATACAGCATTTGTTTTTTGGGGGATTGGCTAACTTCACTTAGCATTATCTTCTCTAACTCCATCCATTTACCTGAAAATGCCATGATTTTATTCTCTTTTATTGCTGAGTAATATTCCATTGTGTATATATGCCACATTTTTTAATCCATTCATCTAATCCTGTAGTATGCTGTTTTTAAGTCCTTTATAGACTGAGGAGAGGGATAGCTGTGTCAAATGGTGGTTCCATTCCCAATTTTCCAAGAAATCTCCATACTGCTTTCCATATTGGCTGCACCAATTTGCAGTCCCACCAGCAGTGGATGAGTGTACCTTTTTCCCCTGCATCCTCGCTAACTTGCTTTTCTCTTTCAATCATGTGTTTTAGAGATCTTTCTAAGCCAGTACTTAAAGATTTGTTATTGATTTTTGTAGATGCATGAACCTACTAGAATTCATTTACACATTCTCCTATTATTATTTACAATTATTTCATATATGTGTGTGTTTGTATATGTGTTGATATATATATACATATACATATATACATACATAAAAGCTGCAATGACCATCCCTACACTTGCCCTGTTGGGTTTCTGAAGTGTATCACCTCCAACTCAACTATGACATTAATGTGACATGACAACAGATCTTGATCAGAAAAAATTTAAAGTCTGACCAGAATAAATTGTATTCTTATAAATAAATGAGATTTTACACCACCAAGATCCCACTTAAAACAATGAAATTCTCTAAACCAATCATTTGGGCAACATAGTAGTCATAAGTGGAAAAGGCAAATGCTAGGTCTGACTTTGAACAAAAAGGATGAAATGGGGCTGGCATTGTGGCTCAGCCGTAGAGTGCTCACATAGTACATGCGAGGCCCTGGGTTCGATCCTCAGCACCGCATAAAAATAAATAAAGGTACTGTGTCCAACTACAATAAAAAAAATAAATATTTTTAAAAAAAGGATGAAATGTGGAAAGTTCTCATTTAGGCAGAGAACTAACATCGATTCAGTCAAGTGCTAGGAAGGGTTTGAAGCTCTTTACAGGTGTTAACTCATCTGATACTCACAGCAAGGGCAGGGTGTCTCAGTCCCTCAGCCAAGAAGGAGTAGGAGATGTGACCCAGCTGTCTGGCTCCAGAGTCTGAGCTCTTACCCAGAACCAACAAATAAAACTGTAACTACAGATGGAATGTTGCCACACTTTGTGAATGATTTTTTCTTTGGTTAACTGGGGTGAAACAGCGAAGGTAGTAAAATAGTATCTTGCAACTCTTTCCTAAACAAACAGGGTCTATTGAAGCACTTTTGGAAGACAGAGGAATGGACACAATATTCTGAAGGACAACCATGTTAAAAGGATAAGAAACAGTGCTGATCTCAAGTTAAAAATTGATAGAACATAGAGTGGTTTCTTTTTTTTTTTTTTTTTGTGGTACTGGGGATTGAACCAAGGGCCTTACACATGCTAGGCTACGTCCCCGGCTCAAACTAATATTTGGGAGCCATTTCTGTAAGACAAGAACTAGGAAAGTTTTATTCCTGAGACTATCATTCTGCTACTAAATGTGAAAAAATATCTTCTAATTAAACCCTCCTGTGCTGTTTAAAAATAATACACAATGCTATTGCTAACTTTTACTAAATTACTCTTGATCAATCAAGAACAGAAAGTTCAAAGTGACACTTTGAAGACTAAAACCATTTTTTCCATCAGCTATTCCATTGCCATATTTGTCATTTCAGCCAAACTCATAATTAGGGTGCACTAAAATAAGTATTTTTAAAGTTCTATCACACTTAAAAGGAATCATAAAAGATTTCTTTAAAAATCTTAAGATTTTTATATACTCTATGGAAAGAATACAGCATACAGAAGAACAAAGTTGATTTCTTTCTACAACTATATGTATATTGTGTCTACTTCTATTTTGTGGTACACAAAAACTACCTCACTTACACATGGTCATATGTTGCTTAACAACTGGGATACATTCTGGAAACATGTCTTCAGATAATTTTGTCATTATGTGAATATCATAAGTGTGCTTCTAGAAATGAACATGAGCTAAATCATGTCTTTGGATGACACAATCTATGGGACTACTATAAGTACAGTAGGTTGTTGAAAGAACCTGTTATGTGGCACATGACTATACAAGAGCAAGTACTATTTATAACAAGTAGGATAGTAACAGGGAATAATACCATGGGGTCAGCTGGCAATTGGTAAAGATGAGAATAGGGAAAGAAATGTGAAGGGTAAAAGAAAAGAAATGTAGGGAGTAGACAAAGTGAATTAAAGCAAATAACTGGGAAAAAGAAATTAAAAAAACAAGACAGGGTCGGCCAGAAAGGGAAGAGTCAAAGGGGAAAAAAACAGTCTAGGTCAACTTCTGCAAGAAAGCTAGATCAGGAGAATATCTGAAAAATCCAGACAGGAAGGATCTTATCTCCTATTTAACAGAAACTGAGGGAACTTAGCTCTGGCTTGGACCGAGAACAGATATGGCGAAAGTAGAAAATGCTGAATTGAAGAATCCAGACAAAGACTTTAGGCCCAAGGAAAACTCTCCAGTCAATGATTCTCTTAAATCAGATTAAACTTGGTTTTATAATTAAATGTGCACCTGTAATTCACAGGTGCTGAAAAAAGTCTGGCTAGAGTCAGGAAGTCATTTGCTTCTCAAGACTTGGCTGAATGAGACAGCCAAAGAAGAATGAGAACACGAGGCAGCATCACCCTTGAAGCTCTTTTTTAAAAAGGAGGTCTTGTGATGTGATGTGATTCAGCAACCTGTACACTCAGAAAAAGGAATAATTATACCCCATTTGATTCAAATGTATGATATGTCAAGATCACTGTACTGTCATGTGTAACTAATTAAAACAAATAATAAAATAAATAAATAAAATAAAAAGGAGGTCTTGCCTTTGATCTGCATAATCAAAAAAGCAGGAGTAAAACGCAATTAGAAAATTTCAATGACACTCACTTCTTGAGGAAATCTTGAAAGTCGGCTGGTAAATCACTGGGGATGGTCACGGGGTACTCTCCACATTCCTGTCCTTGGCTGAGGGAGAGTAGCAAAAGGCCAAGATGCCAAACATCCCCCTTCTTCCCTGTTTTATAAGGCAGGGCATTGTCACTAAAACGCACTCGGGTTTGCTCAAACACATCCTCCTTGCAAACGTCCGCTAGGCGTTTAGAAATGCTGTAATCTGTAATCTTGACAGTACCCTCTGCATCTACCAAGACAGTCGATGCACTCAAGACCTTGTGCACCACAGAATTGCTGTGAAGATAATCAAGGCCTGACAAGAGCTGAGCTGCATACTTGCGAAGCTGATGCATAGGGATGGGGCCTAAGTGATTCAGGTGTGTAGCGAGAGAGACCCCATTGATGTGCTCCACTAAAATGTCCACGGTGATGGAGTTGTCTTGCTCTTTGAAATTCATGGCAAAGTATCGTACCACATTTGGATGACTCAATTTCACCAGTGAGTTGAACTCTGTTTCTGCCCCTTGAAGCTGATAAGGAAAAAAATTTTAAAAAAAGATAATATTGGGTAAGTCAGCATTAATGGATGTTTCACTTTAAAAGTGAAGTACTTGAAAGAAAATATACTTTCATGAGAGGAGAAAAAATATTCCCTGAATAGAATAAAGGTGAAAAAAATTCAATTCTTAATTCAAAATCTTAGTGTATAAATACTATAAAATTAGTGAATGGCTTTTAAAATCAACTTATTTTGAGTTAAGCCATGGAGACAGGGGAACCACTCATTTTAAAATAACCTTTTTTGATTATAATAAAATCACTATAAAAGTTTTTTAAATTAGGGACTAGGGGTATAGCTTGGTAGTAGAGTACTTGCCTACCATGCATGAGACCTGGAATTCAATTCCTAGCACCGCAAAAAGAATTTTTAAGTTAATACAAAGGTAAAAATATCCACAAATTATCTATATTATCACCATCCAAAAAAAAACTTGTGATTTTTTGCATTTATAGTTTTTCTTTCTAAACATAAGAAAACTCACATTTCTAAACACCAAGCTTTATCTGCTTTTTTTCCTTAAGCTTGGTATTATAGATTAATAATAAACTCTTCTTTCAATCCCCAATATTGCAAAAAGAAAAAATCTGCAGTTCCCCCCAAATCAGTTTGAAGCAATATTTTTAAAGAGTAGAGAAGATATATGTAACTTCAAAAAGCACAACTTCGGGGGCTGGGTTGTGGCTCAATGGTAGAGCGCTTGCCTAGTACGTGTGAAGCACTGGGTTCAATTCTCAACACCACATAAAAATAAATAAAATAAAGGTACTGTGTCCATCCACAACTAAAAAAAAAATTTTTTTTTTTTTTTTTGAAAAAGCACAACTTGGGCTGGGGATGTGGCTCAAGCAGTAGCGCGCTTGCCTGGCATACGCAGGGCGCTGGGTTCGATCCTCAGCACCACATAAAAATAAAATAAAGATGTTGTGTCCACCGAAAACTAAAAAAATAAATATTAAAAAATTCTCTCTTTCTCTCTC